ACAACATCAAAACAGCCCTCCTCATAACCTTAGGCAGAGTCCTGAGGAAACCTTACAACATACTCTGCCTCCGGTTGTAGACCTTACGGAAAGTCCAGGAATAACATTGCCATATCAAATAAATCCACCAGAAAGCTTGAGCAGGGCTGAAGACATCTGCTTGACGCTAGAAAGAACCCCACAGCTTGAGGAAGGTGAGGTTGGAGAAATGCAGAACAGACTATCAGATGTAAACAAGAGGGCTGCTGAAGTGGACAACCACGAGTCTGACAACATCGATATCTTTATGCTGTATCAAAATATGGACAACTTGAACACTACTCATACCGACCATGTCTCTATTATGAATGCAGGCAATTCAAATAAACATCTTGAAAGAACTAAAAATACTACAAAAAGTGTGACAGCTTTGTGTCATTCATGTCATGTAAATGTACGTGAAGCCCACTTTTCGGGTCATCTGTTTTTCGGCTATCTTCAGTGTTGCTCTTGTCGTGATATCATACGGACCTGTAAAAAGTTTCGCCACATGAAGGCAAAGAAACCATTTTGCGATAAAAAAAATCGGAGGCCCCATTGCTTTACTAACTGGCTAGCGTGCCCTATTACATATCTAAAACATCACATAAATGCATCTCTAATCTTGCATGGAATTTATGATAACATTAAAGGTCCACCAACTGTTAACAATATTAAGTTGGCAATGTGGTTGTATATGAGGAAACTCAAAGTCCTTGAAAATATATTTCCATGGACGTTTGCCATTAAACAGTGTCATAGGTTTTTCCAAAATGCAGCAGAAAGAGAGATAAAACAAAGACAGTCTCAGTACATGAAGAAGAACCAAACTAAAATTGTAGAGTTAAAAGAGTTTAGCTTAACTACAGCTGTAAACTCCACAGATATGAATAATCCTCAAGAGCTTCCCAACAAAAGGATGAGGAAGAACGGAAATGTTAACGAGAGACAAGAACATAAACGTTGTGTGGATAAAGAGAATGCCACGACACACGAACCAGGAAGTATGCAAATGGAACCTCTCGTTGGAAATATTATTCGTGTTGATTATAGGAATGATATATTGGTAAAAGGAGACCAAAGTCACACCCAATTAGTCCATAGGGTTCATAATAGGAGGAGGTTGTTTGAAGAGGAGGAGGTTTGTAACTCGGAGGTAATCTTACAGCATGAATCGAGTAATTCAAAAGCAATAATACAAACAGGTGGTCATCCATCAGGTGTAACACAAACAGAAGTAACGTTACAGTACGGAGATCATCAACTAGCAACAACTGCACAGTCTTTCTCTCAACATTCAACAAATGCAGAGGTCTTCCATTTCCTTCAGGCCCCAGAGAATTACAATGATGCAGCATTATCAGCACCAGCCACACAAAACCCACCATATCACCAAAATACCAATAACTCAAACATCACAGTACCCTGTGACTTGCTCGACGTTGCTGCTGACATTGAATATATTGTTGTGCAAGATGAGTCGGGCTGCCTCACAGTGCAGAGGAGAAACTCTTCAGGTGAAAATGAGACAATAGAGGAGGCTTATCCTAATAAAAAGGTGAAGGAGATGACTGTTGAGGATTCAGATACAAGAGAAAAAATATTTCAAAACCTACAGAAGGCACCAAAGAAGTCCCACTCCCCAAAGCCAACCAAGAAGAGTAAAAAGACAACTGACATCGGAATCCCTCTGCCTCTGCATGATGTGAAGGACGGACGATACCTGGTGGTGAACTACCCACAGGAGCTGTGCCCGGAGGAGTGCCCTGACTGTTACTGTCGCTTCAACCATACTATGATATCTATTAACTGTGTGACACTCCTCGTCACTCTCCTCTGTGGCAAGTGTAACCTCACCATCTTTATTGTGCCAGATGAAGCCACCAGGAACACTTGTAGCCAAGTACAGTAGTACCCCGCTTAACGCGGTCAATTGAACCCACAGGGTACTGCGTTAAGTGAAAACCGCGTTAAGTGAACAACAGAACATATGGGATTAATTCTAATAGAGACTGGCCCGACCCCCAAACTCCACTTTTTGACGACACACAACTATGTTGTAGTAAAAATTTTATCTTAACTTTATGATGGTATGCACACACAATTAATAATTAAGAGAAATATCAATAATATTAGGTTTTTTAACACTTGCATTAGTAGAAAAGATGGCTGGGCACACGGGGATGGGGGGTTGGTTCCAAGGCAGAGGGCAGATTATTGGCCCTCACCTGTATCACTTGTATCAATTGTATCACTATCCACCACAGAGGCTTGCAGGGCCTCTTTGTCAAACCCCTCAAAGGCCATATAAGTCCATATCCTCACTATAATTATCACTATCACTGACTTGGGCCGGCTGTGGTGGGTGGCGGGTGAAGAACTCCTTCCGTTTTATATGAAAAAATTCCGCGTTAAGTGAAAGTTCAGCTCTGGCGAGGCACCGCGTATATGATAAAACGCGTTAAGTGAAACCGCGTTAGGCGGGGCAATACTGTATGAAGCCACCAGGAACAGCTGTAGCAAAGTCTGAAGCCATAGGAACAGCTGCTGCACAGTATGAAGCCATAGGAACAGCTGCTGCACAATATGAAGCCATAGGAACAGCTGCTGCACAGTATGAAGCCATAGGAACAGCTGCTGCACAGTATGAAGCCATAGGAACAGCTGCTGCACAGTATGGAGTTCCAGGGAACAGCTGAAGGACAGTATTTAGACACAAGAAGCAGCTGTAACAATATAAAGGCACAAGGGACAGCTGCAGCGAAATTCAGAATAAGCTCTTGAAAAATATGATTCTCAATTATGACTTGTAAACACAAATGCATAACTGATAACATGTACTAGATTATACTTTGGGGCAATTTATTGTACTGACATATTTTTCCTTGTAAATTCAAGTTTGTAAGAGTAAAATAAATAATTTACTTTATTTGTGGATATTATCCATACTGAACTGTACATTTAACATTTCAATGATAATACAGTATAGCAATTCTTATATTGTATTTACCGGTACATGAGAATATTGAAAAACAAGACTTTGGGCAAACTAATGTAAAAAAAATCTGACTTAAAACTTGTGTTCTTGGATATCTTTTGCTCAAAATTTGTAGAAAAACAAAACAAAAATTAACCCCCCACAAATATGTATTATAATAGATATAAATTAAGCTACTCGAATAATGATTTTGTCCTTTTCTCTGTAATCATTTAACACTTGGCCACTTTCCATTGACCAGACCTTCAACATAACTCTTAAAACCTTGATATTTGACCCAGAATCTCTAGCAACACTTTATATTATCCATCACCTTATGTCTGTACCATCTGTTATTCTTGTACTGGGATCACACACACACACACAGCAAATTCTTCTAAGTATGTTATAAGCAGCAACTTGTAGCACGGATATAATGAATTTATTGAGCATTTCAGCTCGGTTAGTGCCACATAAGGTACATTACACAGATCATTTCAGCTCGGTTAGTGCCACATAAGGTACATTACGCAGATCATTTCAGCTCGGTTAGTGCCACATAAGGTACATTACGCAGATCATTTCAGCTCGGTTAGTGCCACATAAGGTACATTACGCAGATCATTTCAGCTCGGTTAGTGCCACATAAGGTACATTACACAGATCATTTCAGCTCGGTTAATCATGGCACATAAGGTACACATCTACACAAAGGTTAAAACAGTTAACATACCAAGTTACTGAAGTTATACAATGAGGAGGTTCAGCTGACAAAGCAAACAGAAGAAGAAATATTTTACAGGAACATCTGAGGACATAGTTACAGTAATTAATGACAACTGAAAAAAAAAAGATACCATCAAGAATATATTGAAATAAAATAATAACTGAAGACTGCAATGGGAAACTAAGGTATTGTACCAAGACACCCAGCTTATCACCATCACCGGCTTCCCTCCCTTACCAAGTACTAATGTGTATAGTTTCCCCTTCACTAGTGCATTTACAGGGGTATGTCAGGTGAAGTATGGCAACCCTGTGTTTGTTTACATTTGACAGAAGGAAACTCGCAACAGTAAACATACTATGGAATCAATGAAAAACAGTATTTAATCATATATCTCAATGTAGTGATTTGTGGAAGGTTTATATGACGAGCCCCTATAATGCACTTATGAAGGGGACACAAATTTTGTCAAATCTATGGATCACCTCAAGATTAGCCCCCAGATTATTTCACCCCAAGATTAACCAATTGTTAACCTAACCTTACCCCCATCAAGTAGGATTCGGGCATTTAATCATCAGTTGAAATAAGATGAGACCTGGGGGTGTTTATCTTCACGTGATGCAAATGTATTATTGCAGCTTGGCCATGAACAGTGAACCCCCCCGTGAGTAAGCGTGAGAGTACTGTATTGAAACCCAGAAAATATTATACCACGCAAAAAATAAAAGTTTAACTAATAAATCTCCATACACAATCCATCAAAAAGTATTAAACATATTATTGAAGAGATACAATACAGTACTACATCTGGGAAGACTGTTAAGGCAGATTAAAAATATTTAATATGGTTACCAGCCCTCATATCCCTGGAGTATGATGGTCTGATCCCTCGAGTATGGTGACTTGACCCCTTAAATACGATGAATTAAGCCACTACCTAAGGGGTTAAAAATATATCACGCAAAAACTGGATGAAAAGACATCGGGGAAAAAGGTAATCTACCTTCACACACGAGTACACACCTTCCTGCCACCATTTTGTTATTGCTTCCCTTTTTATCTACTGTACTTCAATAGCTAAGGCTAAGTGCATTAATATCAATACATTGAAGATATAACAACTTTCTCTTGTACCACTTTGCAAAACACTCCTCCTCTCCCATGACACTGATGGTAAGGCAAAAGGCCAGGTTAAAATAATAAGAATAAAATTATTAAAAGATCAAATACATTTACAGGCAAAAGTACAAACAAAATAAGGAAATTAAACAAATATTTTCCACTTTGTGTTTATTTTATAGCTGTCAAGACTTTAAATTTGTCTTTGTAACATTCCTGATTATAATACAATGCAGTACTATACAGCTATTCTCCAACTTAAGACTGGGTTAGGGACCCAAATCCAGGCTGTAAGTCGAAAATGCTTAAATGGGTGTCTCTTTTTCTTCTCAACACCACAAAACTCTCAATTTTAAGCTTGCCAGCCATTTTAAAGTGAATTACAAACAAAAATTTTCTGTGTACTGACATTGGGACTCGAAAATATGTAATTTGACACAATTTTGATACGACTGAGGCAGGTCGTAAGTCGGGGAGGAGCTTTATAAAGATCCAAATAAGGTGCCACAAACAATTAAAAACTCAAAGTTGTTACAGATATACTACATAACATATTGAAGTAAAAATCCCTGAACTGTCAACATGATTTCAGAATACAGTACTGCATATAAAATGTATTGTTGAAAAAAAAACACACAACAGCATACTTCCTCAATTGTTTAAAAATTCTCACACACACACACACACACACTTTGTATTGTATTTGGTACAATGGGAATGACTATGTTTTAACCTTTTGCAACCAGGCAACATCCTGTACTGTAATATTTCCTTATTTAATGGAAGGCTACACAATACAGTACAGTACTTCTTATGTTTCAACCTATGGTACTTTTTCCCTTTGAACTAGGAGAGGTGGGTGGGGGTGTAAGGTTACAATTTAACAAGATACTGATGAAAGTTTAGTCAGGAACTGGGATACTAGGCAGCTACAGGTGTTCTAATCTCTATTGATACCTGGGGTGCTGCAGTGCAGGGCTGATACCTGGGGTGCTAAAGTGCAGGGCATCAGTTTGGTGGCTCTCTTTTGGATGTTATTAATCAACCGAGTTTCCAGCGTACAGTAATCTCAATAGACCAGCCCAGACTAGATGGGATGACATACAGTATGCCAAACAAGGGACACATTGATGGGTACTGGTCACCACCACCGAAAACATATCACCTAATCATATGGTTATATTGCCAGCAGAAGATATTATATAGCCCCCAGCTTCTCTAAGAGGCAGCAGTGTAGAGATCTTGCACAGTATACTCTACTAAACCAGTCCCCACTATAATTAAATACAACAATCCCTGTAAATCATTTGAGGTGTGTGTGAAACCGCACAAGAAAATATTGCTACTACACAGTATTTACAATGTTATGAATCCCATAAAAAAAGATGATAAAAACTTAACCTAATTACATTCATGAAAGACAACGTTGGATATACAGTACAGTAGGTTTTACTTTCTTATACAGCATGGTATGTTATTTACTGGGTGGCCAATGGCCATAGTCTTTTGGTATAAAAATTACAAGAAAAACAGTACTGTACTGTACCGTACAGTATATAAATTGGGTCTGAAAACTTAAGGCTAAGTAAAGTAATCTTATTTCAACAATGTGTAGTACTGTACAGTTGTCTACTACAGTATGTCTGAATATATTAATGTAACTCATCCAAAGTGTATTAGCATCTTACAACTCTTCTTTACAGTATTCAGGTAAAATTATACCATCACACAAGTCTTCATCCAAGTTAAAAAGACTACAGTATACATATACATAATAGATATAACACTGCTACTGTATAAGAAAATTCCCAGAGTTGCTTTTACTTTAGCTGAATTGTAATATCTAAAGTCTTCTGAGCTTTTTCATCATTATCTGTTTTCACTGTACAGATAGCTTCCACCACAAGATTTGTTCTCTCATGAGTTTAACAGTTTTGTTATTCTTGAGCTTCCAAAAGATACCTTGCCTGATTTAAGAGAGATTCCAATGACTAATGGTCAGTCCCTACCATATATCATCTGACTAGATCATCTCCGTATGAGCTGAATTCTGACTCAACTTGACAGAGAATACCTTACCGAGATGTGGCCAATTACCCGGTAGTTAGTGACATGATAAAAGAATTCCCCGATATATCAGGTGTATTCACGAGGTGTACTTTAGCTCCATATAATAGACTCCTCTCTACATGTGTAATCCGTTATTCCCACATCAATAGACCCTCCACATAACGGAATTTCCTCTCCATGTACTAGTCCGTTATATAGAAGCTTCACTGTTTATTTACATGACAAACTCGTATACCATGGGTCTATATACCAGGAGATTCAAGAGTCCTAATAAACTAATGAAGATCACTGTTACAGTAATGACAGCTTGCCGGGGAAAGTCATTCAGAGGAGGATACTAGGAACCATGTCTTGAATTAGCAGAGAGAGGCACAGGACGGATGTTGATTAAGGTGGTACGCAAGTCTATTAAAGGGTGGGCAGAAATTTTGTCAACAGTCTACTGAGAATGGTATTTCTATAGTTGGTCAGAGATTAGCTAACTGTCTAAAGGATAACTGGAACTAGAATCAATCAGTTCTTCCTGCTGATTGTCAAATTACAAGAATCCACATTCACCACCTCCACAATATTGAGCAAGATGAACATGAAGTTACTTTAGTTTAGTTACAATCCAAATTTGGGGTAACAAGTGTGCATAATTAAATCAAAGGGAAGAATTTGTTTGTAGAAAATGGGATGAAAAAATTGTAGGGTACTGCACCAAAAATTCCACCGTCCACCTCCTCCTTATAATACATCTGTGGTTTCATCTGGACCATTTCAAACTGAGGATAGTGTCAAACGCAGGACATAACTGAGAGCCTTTGGAATTACTTTTTACGGTTTCACAAGCAGGGAAACTAAACTCGATCTGGCTGAGAGTCGACACGAAAAGTTCCCTCATTACACCCAAGAGATTAATCACAACTAGAGGTTTTCCAAGACTAGTGCACTCTGATGGAGGAACTCGCCGGTAGTAACTAACAAACAACTCAAGACAGATGATCAAAAGTTGGAACATACTGTAATTTGACAAAAGTATAGAAATGAATCTCCTTTAACAAACCAAGAGTTGATCCATGGGAGACAATGATTGAACTGAGTCTCTTTGTAAGTTAGTCAAGAGATGTTGTGTTAGTAGTTGATGATAATAAAGTAATCTATCTTTTGGAGCGCCTCATTTTTTCCTTCAAATTGACAAACTATTAAATGAAAGAGACAATTATGTGAAGCCTGGCAATGACTGTGACCTACAGGTAGTAAGTTAACGGAGACCATAGATTGAGATTAAAATTTATTCACAAGGTTTTACGAGTAACCTGATTTTGGAAAAGGTGACAGCGATAATACTGTATTTTCCAACATTAGTCACAGGCCAGACAAAAATGACATTGTAAGAGTATAAACTTACAAGTGGGTGATACCGTCTTAGTTCAGGAAGAAATTACAGGGAAAAAAGGGCATAAGTGGTGATAACAGAACCTGGTCATGGTGACAGAGTAAGAGACGTACTCGTGCTCCGTAAGTGGTGATAACAGAACCTGGTCATGGTGACAGAGTAAGAGACGTACTCGTGCTCCGTAAGTGGTGATAACAGAACCTGGTCATGGTGACAGAGTAAGAGACGTACTCGTGCTCCGTAAGTGGTGATAACAGAACCTGGTCATGGTGACAGAGTAAGAGACGTACTCGTGCTCCGAAAGTGGTGATAAAAGAACCTGGTCATGGTGACAGAGTAAGAGACGTACTCGTGCTCCGTAAGTGGTGATAACAGAACCTGGTCATGGTGACAGAGTAAGAGACGTACTCGTGCTCCGTAAGTGGTGATAACAGAACCTGGTCATGGTGACAGAGTAAGAGACGTACTCGTGCTCCGTAAGTGGTGATAACAGAACCTGGTCATGGTGACAGAGTAAGAGACGTACTCGTGCTCCGTAAGTGGTGATAACAGAACCTGGTCATGGTGACAGAGTAAGAGACGTACTCGTGCTCCGTAAGTGGTGATAACAGAACCTGGTCATGGTGACAGAGTAAGAGACGTACTCGTGCTCCGTAAGTGGTGATAACAGAACCTGGTCATGGTGACAGAGTAAGAGACGTATTCGTGCTCTAAAACTCAAGAGTCAGGTGCAGGTAGTAAGTAGAAAAAGGAAATAAGTTACTGTAGTTATAATACAGCCACCTAAAAGAGTTCCATTCCCTCTTTATAAGTACAGTTAGCCACCTAAAAGAGTTCCCTTTCCTCTTCATAGGTAAAGTAGGTACTGGTAATTTATAAAATACAGTATAATATATCCAATGTAAACTAAAAAAAAAGATTAACTGGGTCCAATAGTCAAAGGCCGACAGTTCTTTTTCAGAATATGACGAAATTTCGAATCCATTAATATATATATAGTGAGAGAGCAACTACGACAAACAATGTCCACGAGAGATGTAGTACAATTAACAGTCACCATGGAGAGATGCAAGGCAGAGTAACAATTGGGACACTCATCTGGCCATTCATCACTTTGACAGTTCATAACCAGGTACCTATCATTTTTAAACTTCTTGGGGGGTTTAAACTTATCTGGTGATAAACAGACCACCCCATGACTGGTCTTCAAGCGCTTAGCAGTTCTTTCACATTTTTTTTTAAGGGTTCGTTTGTTGATTTTAATTTTTTCAGAAGTTTCTGGTATTTTTTTCTCCACAGACATGTTCACCGTTGGTCCCTTAATATTATCTAAACAAGCATCCTCCTTTTTGCTAATAGGGACGTTTGTTTTGGTCACACCCTTTTCAATATTGCTGGAATGTTTTGTTGATTCTAATGACTTCTTCACATGTTTATATTTCAATGCAGTGTTTTTATTTTGTGCTATTTCAGCCAAAAACTTTTTGCCCAATACTTTACTACTAACTACAGTATTGTGTCCTTTCATTTGTTTTACTTTTTTCAGCCTTATCGGTTCAGAGGAACCATTTAGTTTTGCTTGAAGCAAAGCTTCAGTGTTTTTTGAAAGAGGTTCCTTCCATTTCCTTTGAAAACTATAAAATCCATTTACCTTCTTAGTATTGCCCTCTCCTCTAGAATTGTTTTCCAATACTTGTGTGAATTTTCCTGGTGTTATTCCCTTACCACACTGTTCTCCAACTTTAAAACAGTTGTCTTTGCTACAGCTACTTTCTTTTTGCTTAAAAGGCACACCAACATTCTCAAATGGCAATGTTACTACTTCTCTTTGTTCATCAATTAAATTCTGGAATTGACGAAGGGCGTGTCCCCAAGGGATCAATGCTTTTAAGAAAAGCAGTGACTTTACATAATTTTTGATGAGTGTCCTCCTGTCAATGTCTAAGGAACAATTTCCTGTTTTGCTGCAATACTTATTTATAGCCAATTGTTTCCTAACATTATGCTCTAAATAAACAACAGGATTTTCCTTCCAAACAGAAAAGTTGTGAGGCTTATCAGTCTTCTTACAGATTCCAGTTTTATCATATTTGGCAAGGAAAGATTTACAATTAGTAAATATAGCGTCGTGACAATCTTTACATTTCAAATTACCAAAATAAAGGTGTGTTACAATATCCTTTCCTGTTACTGTGCATTCACATGTGTAACAAAAAATCTTTTGTTTAAGTTCTTCACTGTGACGCTCATAGAAAGTTAAGTTTTCATTTCCCCTCTTAACGGGTTCTGCTGGGGATGACTTGACAGAGGTTTTGTTGCTTGGTGTGGTATGAATGGATGCAGTTTTCTTCTTCACCTGTTTGTCAACACCTAAGACAACTGGTCCAGGTTGAGAAAGGGATGAACAAATGCCCTTCACATACTTCAAGCTCCTGAGCTCTAAGGTCACAGAGGGCTTTGACTTTTCACATCCTTTGTTTTCCATTTTCTATAAAAAGGTTCTCAAATTTGTAAGCTGAGTATTACAACTTCAGTACATTTTGAAATTTAAATTTTTTCTGCGACTAACTTGTTCTTCATCTCATCCACAAAGCTACCCTTCAACACACAAATGCCAATACTGTACTGGAATAATTTTTTCATGCACTGTGATGATGGTTGTGGATAAAGGCATCAGGCCTCATCTCAGATTTCAATTCACTGTTTTTTCTTTGTAAAGTAAAGTGCAGCAATACCATAACAACTGCAATATGTTGTTGTGACGCTCACTCTTCCTCCATCTCTTGCACTACTGCACACTGTAAAGAGAACCAATATTTTACGTTACAGTACAGATATAATAATAAAAATATCTAAGATATAATTTAGAACTACTCTACCTGTATAGTATTTAATTATGGCAAGTATTTTTTTCAAGAGAGAGTACAACTTATTTCATAGTTATCACTCAATATAAATACATAAATACATTTCCTGGACACTGTCATTTGTCGAACCAAAACTCAGTTTCTTCAACCTGGATGCCGTTCAGCATCACCGGACAAAAATACTCCCCGAAAATCAGAGTGCGTTGAAAATTGGACATGTGGTTTAGCAACAGTGGTGTGCGCCTTCTCCTCCCTTGCCCAGTAATGAAATGCCAAATGTGACAACCCCAAGTTTTTTCTGTTGGCATCCATGACTGTACACTCCTCGTCTGACTTTAGTGTTGCTACATTCTGGATGTTTCTTGAATTAGTTGTGAATTATCCTCCCTTACCATAGTCATTAGTATAGTGTAATGGTGATGTTTCAAGATATACAGTATGTGCATAGCAGGGAGTGTTATTTGTGTGAAGTGGGTGTGAGGCAGCCACCTTATGAGGGTGGTGTGTGAACTAGGCTGAGGCCACTCTCTCAAGATGATATACCGTACAGTACACATTGAAATAGGTATGTAATTCCTATAATAGTGACAGTGACAGATATTTTAAACAAAGGTGACACCAAGCATGGATGAGAAGGGCAATTGTTATGTTGTTGTTTACTTAATATTTGCAAGTATTAACTATTCATTTAGCATACTCTTAATTACAGTATCAGTATTCCCTTAGGTCATTAATGCAGTTCCAACAATGTCATTATTCTGTACTGTACACACTCTCCGTGTCTAGTGGTGTACCTATAATGCATATGGTCTCATACTGATAACATATTAATTTGAAGTAAATGCCCATAAAAAAATAAACCTTACCCTGACATAGTCATTGTGAATGTCAGGGCATTTTCCCAGTAGGAATCAATGAAATTAGGGGGGGGGGGGTGTTTGCATTCCCAGACGACAACTTTCGCCACATATTTTTTCTACTGTACTGCAATGCAATAAAATAACTATAATACCATAAAAACATTGCAAAAGAATACTACAAACACATTTTATCACTCAAGCACCTTTAATAAAGTTAACATAAACATAGAATATCGAATCACATTGCGTGTAAAAATTCACTTTCTGTAAACATAGACCAACGCCAATGTTTTAGTAACTGCAAAACTTTGTGATAGTGTATGCATAAAATGTGTGAGTGGGACGCTACCACACAACGCAACAGGTCAAACGAATCAGAGTGGCCCAGCGTATCAATACACAGCAGAAACACGTGACTGCACAGCTTGAGCCACCAAGCACCGGAGATGCCACACACCTCCAGTACATGTTTCTCATTTTGCTTGTGTAGATATATTCCACCACTCCTCCAAGGTTAAATATCATCGTACTATACATACAAGACTCCATTATCAAAACACCTAGAGACCCCACCACCCACCCACACACACACACACACACAGCCACATTTTATACCTTTATCATGTCTAAAATAAACCAAATAAAATGACGGTAACCAGTAGTAATATTCCATTAAATCGGAAAAGAAGAGAAATACTGTACAGGCATAATTAGCAAACACCAAGGCGGAACGTTAATTACAGCATAAACAACCGAGTCTTGGGGTCAGAATTCTTTTTTGTTCCCAGCACGAAGAACCCAACTTTTAATGTAATTCCAAAGACGTTCACTATTTTGTGTATGCACACCAGTTGATGCGTCAACAAAGTTCTCACTGTGATTAAGTTTGGTGAGAATAACTACATTTATTCAAGGTATTGTAAGACTTGCAAAGGTCAGTATGAATAATGATACTGTACCTGGTCTCACATAATGTTGAATAAGTGGTATATGTGTCTCAGTACTGCGGTCAGGAACTGGTATAATAAATTTCCTTTTTGACACTCTTTCTATTCAACCCAACACCCACACTCCAGTTAACTCCAGCACTATATCTTTGTACTGTAGACCACTCGCTATAGTAGCACCGACATGTTTTGTGAGGCTGCTTGATAGATAACTCACATCCTTGTTTTTATCATCACCCCCAAAAATTCCTGTCTATGAAGGGACCAAAAAAGTAAAAGTAAATCTAAACTAAGGAGCAATGCGACTGCAGCTAATTTTTCCAACAGTTCCTAATATTAAAAAAAAAATCCTCATTAACTTTTTGGACCTTACCATGAGGCTAGGAAACATTTGCCTTCATTAAAGGTGTAGGAGATGGTTAGTACCAGAACGACTTTTTGGAACTGCACCAAATTTTCAAGATGTTTTTTGGATGACACTGAGTAATAAAATCGAAGCACAGCATTGGAGTATTTTTGTTCTTTTTAGCCTAACCTTCGATCATAAATTACAGTACAGTACTTGTCAGTGGGCAGGGCTGTAATTTCACGTCTCTTGCTTTGTAGGCGAAGAAACAAATTATCTACCGTAATTATGCCACTGTAGGATCTCCTGTGGCAACCGTATTTTAGTTCTTATCATCCGAGGTCTTGGTTTACACTTCAAGAAATGAACGATGATCTCATCGGGTGTGTTTACTACCATTTATATTGGAGTGAATTGATTGATTTTTTAGAGATGTTGTTTGAATGATAGTAAGAAAATAAGGTTATTATTCTGTTTAGCACATCTTCAAATCCCATAGAAGCACTTACTTATAGGCAATTTCTACCTCGTATATACATTCTCAACCCTTGAAACCTCTTGGAAATGTTTCTCTTTCAGAAAAATCAAACAAGTGAGGAACGCCTAAGAAATTAGATCAATAAATCTCCATCCGCCATTTCTTGTCCCACTGCAGGGGTGAGAGCCCCCCCCACAGGGGTTAGGTCAAGGTAGGTTAATTTAGTGAAAGTTAGGTGTCGAGATGTTTGGTTTTGGATGTATTCAGTTCAGATCTCACCTTCGTTTTTTATGGATAACAGCCATTTATTATCAAAGATGAATTGCATCTTCTTTTAAAAAAAGACGCATTTCCCATGTCCGAGTACAACAGAAATCAAACACCTCGTGAAAAAAATCGAGGGTGTGCTAAAACGAATAATTACTCAAATAAAAACTGGAATGCATTAGGAAGTTACGTTAGGCTTGGTTAGGTTATATGAATTGTCGCTTCAATTTTCTTAATTATTTTATTATCATCCAAACAACATCCTGAAAATTTGGTGCAATTCCTTAAAGTCCTTCTGATGCTAACCGTCTCCTCCACCATTACCTCTTCTTCTATAGAGAAATGTTCTCAAGTTATTGGTTCAGGTGAGCACCTGTACTCCAGTGTTACCAAAAGAAATTATTGTTAATATTCATTTTAGGACCACATTTTCCTTCTACTCCAAAATGCAGCCCACTTTGAACAACTAATACTGTATTGTGGGTAATTTTATCAGTTAAAATACCCAAAAAATATAAACTTCCGACAGAAATGTTATAGAATAATTATTTTTAGTCTTTTAGGTGTTGGCAACTTCTCTGCACGTTCTCATTAAAATATAGGCGAAGTTCCTACTAACATTATTGAACAATGAGTGTGCTCTGATTGGCAAATCGTCCATTTCCGCTGAACAATGCAAGAACTATATTTAACCGTGACTGGCGGCATTTGGCATTCATTTAACCGTCGCTGTAAACATACCTAATCATATTTCTGTTGTGCATGGAAACTTATCATAACCCCCATATCATTATAAAAGAGGCGATATTCACCAGATCCTAAAAGAACCTGACCTAATCAACCAAAGAAACCTACCTAACCTTCTAGCTGGGGACCCCCACCATATTAAACAGAGAGTACTTAGCCAATCAGAGTGCACTCACGGAAAAATAGCGGTTAATATATAGGACTAATCCGTCAGGGCTGCACAGCGCCAATGCGGCCGTATCATCTCATGCCCAGAAAATGCCTCAAATTTCACCATATAAGAACATAAGAATGGAGGAAACTGCAGCAGGCCTATTGACCCATAGCAGCGGGCCTATCATTGTAAGTTCTTTCTGTTTAATATACCGGGGAAGTTAGGTAAGATTAGGTAGGTAGGTTTGGTTGGTTGGGTCTGTTCTTCATACCCACAAATGTTAATAGAGTTTATAGCGTTTATCTTATATACATCCATTTTATAACATATTTCCACACACTACCAAGTGTCCAATATAATATAACAATAAAAGTCCGGCGTTTTTATAATTGTTTTCGAACAATTTCGCTCGAGGGTTAATCCTATATTATAGACCAAAATAGCTTTAGTAGGAACTGAGCAGGTCCCGGCAAATATCCACTACGTTAAAAATAACAATAAGACTGCTGTCCGAATAATTACCCAAATGTAGCAAAATATAGCCGCAATGAAGTCAAATAATGGTCCTACATGAATAAATCGGGTTACCAATCACTTCTCGACTAGTATTTGGTGTCACAAAGTCACAAAAAATTGGAAAACTTACTTTCATCTGAGTTAATAGATCGCATGCATGTACCGAGGGAGCGAGTAATTACCCAAATGTAGCCTCAATGAACTCAAATGATGGTCGTACAAGCGTAATTCGGGCTGTGAATCACTTCTCGATTATTATTTGGTGTCATAAAGTAAAAAAAATTGGTAAACTAAATTTAATCTGAGTTGTGTTGTGTTAGGTTAGGTTAGATTAGGTTAGGTTAGGTACAGGCACTTGATCTATTAACTAAGATTAAATTAAGTTTACCAATTTTTTGTGACTTCGTGACACCAAATACTAGTCGAGGTTAGGTTAGGTTAGGTACATGCACTCGATCTATTAACTCAAATTAAATTACGTTTTCCAATTTTTTTTAAATTTGTGACACCAAATACTAGTCGAGAAGTGATTGGTAACCCGATTTATTCATGTAGGACCATTATTTGACTTCATTGCGGCTACATTTGGGTAATTAGTCGGACCCATAAGACTGCAGAGTTTAACCTGAACAGTCAGCTACTACTCGACAACCTTCAAGCTACTGAGTCTTACCCAACTACTACTATACATTTTCAAGTCATCGTTCTCACCTCAATAAAGGGTTTATCATAATGTAGCCGTCCAGCTTACTCTTGTATCCTGGTGGTGGTTGTTGTTATCCTGGGAGATGTAAGACTCACGCCATCACCTCACTGTATCCTGGTGGTGGTTGTTGTTATCCTGGGAGGTGTAAGACTCACGCCATCACCTCACTGTATCCTGGTGGTGGTTGTTGTTATCCTGGGAGGTGTAAGACTCACGCCATCACCACAGGCTGTATCCTGGTGGTGGTTGTTGTTCTCCTGGGAGGTGTAAGACTCACGCCATCACCTCACTGTATCCTGGTGGTGGTTGTTGTTCTCCTGGGAGGTGTAAGACTCACGCCATCACCTCACTGTATCCTGGTGGTGGTTGTTGTTATCCTGGGAGGTGTAAGACTCACGCCATCACCTCACTGTATCCTGGTGGTGGTTGTTGTTATCCTGGGAGGTGTAAGACTCACGCCATCACCTCACTGTATCCTGGTGGTGGTTGTTGTCTCCTGGGAGGTGTAAGACTCACGCCATCACCTCACTGTATCCTGGTGGTGGTTGTTGTTATCCTGGGAGGTGTAAGACTCACGCCATCACCTCACTGTATCCTGGTGGTGGTTGTTGTTCTCCTGGGAGGTGTAAGACTCACGCCATCACCTCACTGTATCCTGGTGGTGGTTGTTGTTCTCCTGGGAGGTGTAAGACTCACGCCATCACCTCACTGTATCCTGGTGGTGGTTGTTGTCCTGGGAGGTGTAAGACTCACGCCATCACCTCACTGTATCCTGGTGGTGGTTGTTGTTATCCTGGGAGGTGTAAGACTCACGCCATCACCTCACTGTATCCTGGTGGTGGTTGTTGTTATCCTGGGAGGTGTAAGACTCACGCCATCACCTCACTGTATCCTGGTGGTGGTTGTTGTTATCCTGGGAGGTGTAAGACTCACGCCATCACCACACTGTATCCTGGTGCAGTGTTGCCAAACCTTTTTCATAATAGTGTTACGTCTCAAGGTACAGTACAGGATCTATTGTTTTATATAGCTAAAACGTTTAGGACAACACATATATGGTTAAATAATTTTTTCTTTACCACACATTAGGCATTACTCGGTCGAGTGTCCATAGGTAGACGGTAGATAAGCAGCTACCAAACACGGAGTTACTACCACCTGGGAGGTTATTGAAGCATCATGGGTATTGTGTTATTCTCTCCACTAATAGACTCGGCTTGGGCGGTCGGTCACGGCTGGTACGCACTGTTGCCAAGTAATGGCTCCTGAATGTACCTGAAAACGCAGAGTACCGTCCATATATATATATATATATATATATATATATATATATATATATATATATATATATATATATATATATATATATATATATATATATATATTTCATGTAGATCCACAATGAAAACGTGGATAAGATAAATCTTGATAAAATCACACGGGAAAAGGGAAACAACGGAGCACCTGAAGATGTCTTGAATAAAGAGATGCTTATAAACCTCAACTAGGTCCCCCTTGCCCGTCTGTAGTATAAGCTAGGCAAGTTCAGGCGCTCCAATCTCTCAGGGTAGCTGAGGTGCCGAAGGGCAGGCACCAGTCTGGTGGCCCTCCTTTGAACATTTTCAACCAAATGACAGTCCCTAGCATATCTCGGGGATCAGACGGGGTGACAGTACACCAGATGGGGAAGCACTTCACTCCTGAAGATCGTTACGAGGGACGGACCGTTTAGATATCTGAACGACCTTCTTACAAGACCCAATAATTTATTTGCCTGATACATTCTTCTCGCAATGGCCCGAGAACTTCAGTTCATTGTCAACATACACACCTAGGTCCTTCTCACATTCAGTCTCAAATAGTGCAGTTTCTTCATCCCGTTGGGACATATGATACGCCTCCTTACCGTTGGCACGCCCCAGGTGCATCCTCTTACACTTCGTGACATTGAATCTCAGCAGCCATTTCTTCAATCATTCTTGGAGCCCACAGAGGTCCTTCTGCAGCTCTTCACAGTCCGCTTGGTTCTTGATTTCCCGAAATAACTTGGCGTCATCGGCAAACATTTGTTCTTTTAGCTACTGGAATTACATCTAACAGAGCTCTATCCTACATAATTTTTAATTGAAGACGACTGGTGTAATTACTAATATAGTACAGGATACGTGTTTGAAGACCTTAGTTTTTATAGTGCAGTACAGTACTGTAATACCTTATAACATCTTCGTCAAGGGAAAGTCGTCTCTCATTCCAGTAGCAGTTCTGCTCCAATTATTCCAGCTGACGGGGATATTACTATACTGTATTGTTGTTGGTTATCTCTTATTATTTATTTTATTATTTACAATTATTTGTAGTTACTATACTGTATTGTTGTTGGTTATCTCTTATTATTTATTTTATTATTTACAATTATTTGTAGTTACTATACTGTATTGAAGGAATTCTGTGGCTATATGTTATTTTGTTTGATGGTTGGGAGCTGTCCGCTTGAGGAAGACGACCAAGTCAGTCAGTCGCCATGCAACTATCACAACACACACACACACACACACACATTTTCTGATACTATATAATTACCAGAAACCAACTTTAGTTCCTGGCAGCTGAACGTCGATGAAACAGTAGATTAACCTTGGACGAATATAAAGTACTGTACTGTACTGTATTGTACTGTAGTTTTCTAACACCATTTATAGATCTATTTTATTTATTGTATTGAATCTGTTGGTTTAATTCATTACAGCATGCAAGTTATACTCAGATTTATAACCAGAAAATTTACAAAGCATTCTTATATGAGGCGTTGCGAGTAACAAGGGCGAGCTGACAAAAACAATGTTAAAAAAAAAAAAAAAATTAGATTTTTCCCAATATTTTGGTTCATAACTCATGCAAATTTTAATTAAATTTGGCCATTTTTGTCGGTTTGGGGTAATGCACCATGAACATGTCCGTGAAAAATGTACAGGGTAATAACATTCCCACATTTTGTTAGCTCGCCCTTACTGCTTCCAACACCTCATATGATCAGTAGGTTTTAGGCAGTCCATTTTGAGTTTATTTCTTAACCATTGTTACATCAGTCATACTTAATCAATTCTACCCTACAAACACTTTCTTTCCTTCTCTACATATTTCTCTTGTAGTTGCCTGGCCATAAATACCTCTGTAGTCCCTATTTGACATGATCTCAAAATATATTTGAATTATGTTCACTCTTCCCTTTCAATTTCTTTACAACTATTTCACAACTTTGATAACATTACATAACTTCAGGCACTTGTACTTTCCACGTTCAAGTGCATCACCTTTTCCCTTGTAAGCATTCACAATTAAGCTCAAATGCATAAATTTATTAAAATTTCGACAGTGTACCTCATGAAAGGCTGAAAATCAAATTGGAAGGGTACGGAATTCGGGGAAATGTCCTAGAGCGGATAGAAGACTTTCTACATGACCGCAAGCAGTGTGTGGTGATTAATGTCAGTAGGTTGAAAATGTTCAAAGGAGGGCCACCAGACTGGTGCCTGCACTTAAGCACCTCAGCTACCCTGAGAGATTGGAGCGCCTGAACTTGCCTAGTTTATACTATAGACGGGCAAGGGAGACCTAGTTGAGGTAAGCATCTCAGGGGGCACTACTCAGTTGAGTGTCCTTACTTGGAGCTGGCGGACGTTCACCCCACAAGGGGTCACAGCTCAAGATTGAAGAAGCCACAAGTCCAGAAAACTGTGAAGGCAAACTTTTTCGGAATGAGAGTTGTGAACTCTTGGAACAATCTACCAGAAAATGTTGTGATGGCACCGAGTGTGAGCTCTTTCAAGACAAGACTTGACCAACACTGGAGCGGGTTCAGGTATATTCAGGAGCCGGTGCATGCCCAGTACCTGCCAACAGTGCGTGACAGAGACGTGACGGATTGCCCGGGACGCTAGCGAGCCGATCAGTGGTGAAGAGGATAAAAGTAAAAATAGTAATATATTTCATAGGCACAGTTTAACACATCATTTAGGTATTGAAAGTATACTAATAGTAACTGTCTTCTTTCTGGAAGAATACAAATAAACTGCTAATTAATTATCTTAAGGTGCATTTAATGTTTCTATATACACAAATATGCGTAAATTTAATTTACAAAATGACCAAAATCTTCCGTCAAATTATGAAATGTTTGACTCTACAAAAAGCCTGGAACTAACAACAATATATATATATATATATTATATATATATATAAAATTAGAGGTAGTTCCTTAACATACAGTATACAAAAAGTTGTAGCCCTCTTTTTGTCGTATAAAGCTCTTTAATGTAAACAAAAGTTACATAAGCTTAATAGTTAATAACAAACAATAAGACTGTTGGTGGATGTACCGTACCAATACAGTGGGGTATGCTATAACGAATCTAATTGGTTCTAGAACCTTGTTCGTTATAGGATTAATCCGTTCCAGGCCCCCAAATACAACCACTTAACACTGAAAAATATATTAAATTGTAAAATTGTAAAAAAGTGCATAAATATGCCTCTAAACCCTTGAAATAAAGAATATCATTAATTCTTGTAATACAGAAACAATAAATTAGTAAAAAAAAAAATAAAAAATTTATAATGTTTGTTGTAGGAGTTTCGTTCGTTATAGCATTATCAATTTTATAGGTAAAACCGTTCGTTATAGGAATATTCGTAGTAGGATCCGTTCGTTATAGCATACCCCACTGTATGAAGACGATGAACTACAAATACAGCTACAACACTTCTTAACTCTGGCATCTGACTTCCAATGACACATTTCTTTGATATGACAATTATAACACGACACCATCAGCAATGTTTGTGTATATAATGCCAGGGTTCTGAAGAGCATTTAATGTCAAAGGACGTTGGCATTGCAGAGGAGGAGTTTTCTGCAACCTGTGTAAATGTTAAAGGATATTAGCTTCATAATAATCTATACTGAATATGAAATCTAAAAATAAAGAATATTTTATTTTATTTTCCACATATTACATGAGAGTAGAAGATAGACATTGCACAATCAGGCAACTGGCTCTGTTTGAGTGATGAGTCCACTTGTCTTCATGTGAGTTTGAGGAGTTACCTTTGATTATATGGGGTGATTGTAGGAAAATTTGTAAACTTTATAACATTGTGAGTGTTAAGTAATAATGAAATAAGATAGTGTACAAGTATTTGCATTAACTAATAATATAACCAACCTGACACAAGTACTGTAAGATGGGGCGACTTTGGACAAGATTCGGAAAATATAGTTGAAGAGGTGACAGCTCATAGTTACTTTTACTTTTTTATTTTTATCCTCTTCACCACTGATTGGCTCATTAGCCGTTTGGGTGGTCGGTCACGTCTCTGTTACACAGTGTTGGCAAGTACTGGGCATGCACTGGCTCCTGAATGTATCTGAACCTTCTCCAGTGCTGGTCAAGTCTGGTCCTGAAAGAGCTTACAGTCGGTGCCATCACAACACTCTCTGGCAGGTTGTTTCAAAAGTTTGCAATTCTCATTTCGAAAAAGTCTGCCTTCACAGTTTTCTGGGCTTATGGCATCTTCGACCTTGAGCTGTGACCCCTTGTGGAGTGGGCGTCCGCCAGCTCCAGGTATGGACACTCGACTATATGGATAGACCATTAATTCATGCACCAAAAGTGTACTTAACATACTGTATGTTTTTACACTTGAAACTTAATCAGCAGCTGAAAAAACCTCAAACACTGTCCAAAGTCACCCCACCTTATGGTACCAGTACTCTGGTTTATTACCTTACATGCTTTCCTTGGGCACATGTTCATGATTGTATCCACATTTCTTAATTTTTCATTTTACAGAAGCCTCTTGGTCCTACAATTTTTGGTTGACAGCTACAGTACAGTACATTACTGAATACAGTACTGTAGAGTAAAATTTAATTTTGTCTGTTTATGATTCCATTTCATAATACCAGCACAGTACTTAACAAACTTTTAATCTAAACCTTGTAGAGGCCAACATAAGGTAGTTAAGGGATAGGGCTGCTCAATGATATAAAAGGATTACTGGATATACAGTGACCCCTCGTTTAACGAACACCTCGGTTAACGTAATTTCGATTAACGAACTGCCTTCCATAAGGATCTTCAATTCGGTTAACGAAAAAAAATTCGTTTAACGAAGTTCTTACGAACCGACCTCAACATGTTTTCGCTTGCACTGACCGGGCAACCAGCTTTAGTATCAGTCCGCCAATACATTAATCGGTTCTAGGGCTTAAATTCCTTACTATTTTAGTAAATATCAAGAAGTTTATACTATTCAATAATTTTAAAAGTTTAATATTAAATTTTTAGTCATTTTAACAATTATTGAACATAACTGAAGGTAAAGTGACTAGTTTAATGCGCGGCATCCAGCCTCTTAACACAGCAAACAGGAGTTAGTCTCTCTCTGTTTTCACTGGAGGTAACATCTTGCTTGAGACTCTCTTCAACTAAACGCTTTTTTTCTGTGTTTCCAAGCAAATTATTGGTCATTTTGAAATATATTTTACATATTGACAATATATAATGCAGTGCAGTGTTGATTTAAAGAAAATAATCTTGAATTACACCAAGAGAGCTAAAATTTTATGGGTGAAATGGCGCCATGGGGTGACTTCTCTTCCACCCCAATGCCTTCTCTTTTTCCTTCTCCTCCACCCCCATTCTAAATCCCATCATCATCATCATCATCATCCAGGAGCCTTCTACATACACACCTCAAAGTAAGTGAACTTTTCTACCATTTTTGTTGAATTTAGGAAATTTTCGGTGAGCTGGAACCAATTACCCAAAAACCCATTGAAACAATGGTTTCGGTTAACGAACTTTTCGGTTAACGAACGACCTTCTGGAACGGATTGAGTTCGTTAACGGAGGGGTCACTGTATAAAATTACATTTACTCTATACCTGCAGGCGTCCATGAGCACAGGGGTGGTGTATCTGTGAGAGCTGGTCATCTACATTACTGGTTGCGTCCACCCAGTCCTTCACTTGAACGTAACTCTCTGGAACTAAAACAAAATATTCAGAAATCCTTTCAAGTAGACATTGTTCACACTAATTTCAAACATTAACCCATTTGTGCCCTACTTATGTAATATAAAAAAAATTTAAAAGTTAAAATAAAATAAAATACATTAGCAAACAAATATTAAAAACTAAAAAAATAATGTACAGTGTTTTTATTTTTTTATCATATTGGCCACTTATCAACTTACTAGCCGTTTGGGCGGTTTATCCAGTGTTAGTACAGGAGGAAACCGGGGACTGGGAAACCTGTGGTGTTTGGTAGTGAGGGACATCATTAGCTATTTGTAATGTCACACATTTTATTACTGTAATATGAAACATCTCCCCTCACAAGAAGGAGCCTTCCTCCCTAACTCAATTTATCCAAAGAATTTTGATAAGAGCTAGTAGCTGGTAAATACTGCAGAAGCAAAATTGGAAATAGACTAAATACTGCTACAAGAAAGTCCTGTGGAAATTAATGAAACAACAAAAGTATCTTGTATGGTAAGAGAATTTAGTATCAGTAAGGAAAATTATGCTAATCAGGTGTTTGAGAAAAAGTTATAAAATTATATTCAGTTGAAGAGCACAAGTTGTCGAGCCCCCTAACACAAAAATGATCTTTATTCGTTATAGTAGACTTACCTTGACGATAAGGATGAAAATGACAAGAGCGACTTCTGAATGCATCGTGAGGATTTTGATTAGGTGTCCTGGTACCCGAATAACTGCTGCAACTGGAGAGTTATTATTCATTATTGGTCGTAAAACATATCCTAAATTCCTCACATTAACACACTGATGATGGAAGACAAAAAAGGGGGGGGGGATCATTCCTCTATTTGTATGTTCACTTTTCTATCTTAAGAAAAAGTTTGCATCTCACTTACCAGCAGTTATAACTCTGAGGAACACCAACGGATGAATATACATTTGATTTCTGGTATTGGTGTGGTCTTGGTAATGTGTCCCGGTGTTGGGTCCTTTCAGTATCACTATTTAAGACTTGATCTTTTTGTAAACTCTCAGGAAATCTTGGATACTGTGAGTGAAGCCTCTCTTCAGGTAGTGATGATAAACTATAGGAATTCTGGCCCATGATGCAGCTACTTCTGAGGTATGGTTGGCACATTTGGGCTTTTGACTGTTCACTGGTATTAGACTGCCTGCTGCTGCATCCCACATGTCTGGTTAATGGAGCCTTTGTGGGATGGTCTGTAAGTGATGGTGGGTTAGGAGATACGTATGGTAAAGCTTGGAGTCTTTTCTGCCAAGCTAAACGCTTTTCTGAAGAACATACTGGAAAGGTTCCTTCATTAGAGGTGACTGCATGCTGAATATTGTGTGCGGTATGTGGATTCATTAGGGGTAATGGTAAGTCGTCTCCCTGACTAAGGCTGCAGAATATCTGGTCTCTCGCGCAATACTGTGGCTTATCCAGATCATCTAGCCGATTATGTGCTGGCTCTGTTGTACTGGATGAGTCGATCAGTGGATGTGATGAGTGTCCCCGTGAAACAGAGTGATGAGCTAAAGGAAATGACTTGTAATCTGAAGGAAGTGCAGGTACACTAGAGTTTGAAACTGTGAAACCAGATGAAGGCAGAGAACCTCTTGGAGATTTTGATCTCGACTGTGGATGTAATGAAAATGGATTCTCAGTGATTAATTTATATCCTTCCTCTCTAGTATTAGCCACGAGAGGTTCTGGCCGGCCATAAGCAACATCTCTAACACCTTGTCGTGATCTTCTGAGCGAACAACTGGTTCCATCTTTATTTTGATTTCCATTTCTCTCACTGTAAAATGAGTGTGAGCTTTCTCTATTGCCTTTTCTTCTAACAGGATGCTTTCCTTTATGGATGAAGTCAGTTTTGCTTCTAATAGAATCATCAAATACGCTGTCCAGAGATGAGTGAGCTGTCATTAGGGGATCAATGTCTGCCTCGCGCTGGGGAATGTTACCTTTCCTAAATGAATAATCCAATAACCTTTTGTTTGTACTTTGACTGGAAGCCATTCTCTGATGGTTACTAGAATTGTGTTCACACCTCTCTAGATAATTAAGGGCATCAACTACTACTGTTTTAGGACATTCGTAATGATACCCAGAGTTAGATGTTGGGGTATCATTACCCTGCATATTAGGATGATCTATTTTCTTTGCATGATATATAGAAGACAATATTTCTTGTGTTGTATCAGCTTTTGCGTCAACCGGATAAAGTTTTCTTGTACCTCTACGAGTTATGGTATTAGTTTTTGACTTGGAAGTAGAAACATCTTCAGTCTCCAGAGGAACATCCTTTGAATCATGTACACATTCACTCTGATAACCAACACCAGGTAAGCCTGTCCTCTCACTTGAGTGCTTGTGTGTGTTGCCTTCTTCCAGCTTCTTCTCATAACGTCTCAAGAGTGCCCTGGGATTAATGATGGTTGTGCCTGGACACATTGTCTCATTTAATGCTAATTCTTTATGTTGATGTGGCAATTCCAATTCTTGATTTCTTTTCAAGTATTCGGTGGATGGTGGAGTTCTCATGGTATTTAATACTTGCATATCAACCTGGCCTCTATTTTGATCATCTGATAAAAGAAATAACAATTATTATTACAAAAATACATATTACAGCTAAGAATCTTACAGCAAAGCTCCAACAAATACTTAACAAGAACTGGAATTCAGTTGTGTATCAAGCCTGTTTTGACCCAACTACCAAACTGAGTAGCCACACACCAAACAACCCCACAGTTCCCGGTATTGTACGTACCTGATATTTTGGATTGGTGGTCTAAAGGTCTACTGCACCCACGATATACATAACTCCTCACTTTGAAAATAAAATAAAATTCATATGTTCACTAAAAAGTCAGGCCTAAAGGTGTGTGTGTGTGTGTGTACTAGAGTTGTTCTGCTATATTGCATAGAAGAAGAGAAAAGGCAAAGAGGAAACGTGGAAAATATTCTGATCAACTACTAAATTTCAGATGAGAGGCATAATTATCCTTATCAGAAAACAGTAAAGTGAATAATGTCAAAGCAAAAGAAGAAAAGTAATGAGGGAGAAGGTGACACAGATCATTAGTAAGCTGATAAATGGGTAGCACCAAGAATGGAAGGAATCACCACTTAAATATTTAGGATGCGGGATGGAACAGTGTTAAAATAGTTGAATAGATGACAGATTCAAGGGTGCCAAAGGAATACCTGTGAACTTTAGATAAGAATGAATATAAACAAATTAGAGGTAGGTTTATTATTAAGAAAGTGCAAACAGAATGTATTAGGAAAAAAAATACCTGGGTACTTGATGGTGACTAAAGAAAAGTAACTGATGAAAATAGTTGAGAAAGGTAACAAAGATATACAATTAATGAACAGGAGTGTGTGAATTATTTGGGGATAGATGGATCTTCATAACTGGGGGAAGGAACTTGATGGATAAAAAATATGTATAGAAAGAGAAAACTATGTAAAAGAAGTCATAGACGAGATGCGCGAAGTCAAAGAAATTGTCAAGAATAAAGAGATTCCAAAAACACGATCATATCAACTGTGGAACCTGATACAGTATTACCTTGACATCGCCCCTTACTGTATCATTCAGTAATGCTCTCAAGGGTTATCACATCCACCCAATTACTGTACTACCAAGAATGACTCAATCATTTTAAAATCCAATACCTAAATGCTGCAGTAAAGTTAGAATGACATACCTGTTTCTGATGTTTTTGTAACACTGCACATTCTGCCTTTCTTGACTTCTTGAATATCTAGAGATGAATCCAAACTTGCAGATAAAGCAGTCCTATATTCGGCACTGAAATATTAAAATGATAACTAAGGAATTCTGATATCACTTGAACTTGACTTTAAAATCACTGGATGAAAAAAAATGATTAAGTATTGTTGATCTTTAGATAGGATCAATATATAATTCTATAATAAGTACAACACAAAGACTAAATAAGGTAACTATGGGAACCTGTGTTAAGGGGAAGATAGTGCCAGTAATTACAGCATCCTTCTTAACTACAGTACTTTGATCTCAAGGGATTTAGAACATTACTGTAACTTCAATGATAAAGGTATGAAATAAAAAAGTGCATTATACTCTACATTAAAATAAAAATACTCAAAAAAAAATCTAATAATTACATGTTTTGTCCTGCAGAGTAAATTATCAGAACAGGTATGACAAAGAGGTGTAGGAGGGGAGGAGTTAATGGTACAAGACACAGTGAAAAAAATTATCTTCCCATATGAGTCGGATGAATTTTGTGATCATATGACTCGTGTTGTCTCAGTGGGGTCGTCATAATCATTCATTCATTGTGTCAAATTGTTTCATAAAAAAATGGTAAGGTACTTATTTTTACTGTGTATATGACCAAGATTAAGGTCTAAAACTGAGTGTGGCACAATACCTGTACTTAAGTGCACTGTATGTATGATGGCTAAATACATTAAATACAATAATAAAGAGAGAGAAAGAGAATTAAATAAGAATATCAATAAAACAGAAAAGATAATAAAAAAGAACAAAACAAAACACATGAACACAAACTAATTCAGTAAAATTTGTTCCACTTTTTCAAAAAAGTTGATTCATGTATTTCAAAGAAGAAAATCTTTATCTAAACCTTCCACACACAAAGAAAACATAATATATATATATATAGTATACATACCATTCTTCAAATTTGTTTTGTATTTCCTCAAGAACCATATAATGATACTCTGTAAAAGAAAAAAATAAATTGAAAACATTGTACAGGTTAACTGGTTATGTTGAGGAACTAGAGGGACTACCAGCCATATATGGAGGACTGAAGCAGGAAATACTCTTTTCTGGTCCAGGCCGAGGTGACTGCATTGAGGAACGAACCATGACCAGATTATGGACTAGCCAGGACTGAATGGTTGGACCTCAGAAGCCATGGTTTGGGAATCATGAGGGACATTGGTGTGTTAGAGCTCTAATTCTTGATTAAGTAACTTTGCTGTCCATAGAAAAACCACATAATTTAATAACTAAGTCAAGATATGCATCAGCCCACCAAGTGAATTCTTTACTTGAATAAGGCATCCAAATACTTAACTACTGTATTGTACCTCTGATGCTGATAGGCTTTGTCAGTGTGTACAATGTGCTAGCATTTAACAGAGCACTTCCCTTAGTCCATTTTAATACTATTTTGTAAGCTCTTTCCTACACTGGTGCTTGCTGGTCAGAATCAACAACAACAACACACATGAAGAAAAAAGATTGTAAGTTTCATATTGAATTTTTCATTCCTTAAGATCCTGTTCAGCAAATGCTTGGAAAATGGCTTATAGTCTATATTCAAGCATGGATTATCGTCACTCCACAAATAATCATAAACCAGTGAGCCTGACCAGTATAGTATGTAAAGTACTAGAGAGCATTATAAGAGATGCCATGATGGAATATCTACCATGAAACAACCTTGTAAAAGATTGCCAATGAACTTAGGAAAGTTTTCTTCCAACAATAAGAATTTGTCTTCTGGGGAGCATGATCCTGGATCCCTCATAGGGCTTGTTCCTCCCTGCAATTACATCTCTGGATCCTCCTCTGATACAAACAGTCACCTATACGGCAGGAGAAACCATTACCACAACCCCGAGGAAAAAACTACTGGTTACTATAAAGATATTTCATGAAATAATGATACAGGGTAGTATCCTTTCCACTAGACAACAATAAAATACAAAAACAACCAATTTTCTTACTTTTAGCTTTGCCAAATATGTTAGATTTTTCTTCAAGAGAAGCTCTTACAGCAGCTGCTGCTGATTCATGCCACATTCTCTGCAAAAAACACACCATCAAGATTATGTTCCAGGACCTCAAAGTTATGGAAAATATTTTTCAAGTATTTACTGCATCTGGTAAAATAAATCTACATGACAAACAATTGATGAGAAGCAGAACATACTAAATTCTGAACACTACCATACTGTACTGTTCACTGCAATGGAGCAGAAACTTTTTCTCTACAAACAATAACTGTAAGTGATGCCAGATTTTTTTCAGAGACCTTACCTTTTTCTCTGGGGAACAAACATTCTCTTTAGTTTCAGGTTTCTCTGGGTGCTTCATATTCTGGCTTTCTGCAATTAAATACAAAATCAACTACTGTTCAGTAATACCAATTTTAGATCCACATAAATCCCTTACGCTCAAAATTTCAGGTTTCAAATTGGGCTTTTTTAGGTAAGAATGAAACAAAGAAACAAATATGAAAATTATACTGTACTGTATTGTTCTCTTAAATCTATATTAAGTTTAGGAATGAAATCCCAACAGTTAGGTGAGAATCCCAACAAACAATGGAGGAAGCTGCTGGTTTGTTTAATTTATTAAGTATTAAAATCTTGTTATGTGGTACAGGTGTACAGTACCACACGTGCAAATGTTCACATAATACTGCGGCCGATGAACGTGAGTGTATACACGGTACCACCCTAAGCAGTACGGTAGATGTTTTCAGTAGGAAGGTGAGGGTGGTATAGGACTTGTTTTTACACCACATGGTGAACACAGTAGTAATTTACTTTTACTTTTATTCTCTTCGCCACGGATCGGCTCGTTGGTCGCTTGGGCGGTCGGTCACGTCTCTGTTATGCACTGTTGGCAAATACTGGGCATGAATGAACTGGCTCTTGAATATATTAGAACCTGCTCCAGTGTTGGTCAAGTCTGGCCTTGAATGAGCTCACACTTGGTGATGTCACAACACTCTGGCTGATTGTTTCACGAGTTCACAAAACTTACTCCAAAAAAGTTTGCCCTCGCAGTTTTATGAACTTCAGTCATCTACAAGTGACTTGAGTATTCCAAACTAGTGAGGAACAGAATAAAGGATATCATATGCTATGCAGTGAACTGACAGCACCTCAACTATAATGTTCTACCTCTACAAAAGAAGAGAGAATCACCTTATTTACTTTATGAAGCCACACAGTTGAGGCTAAACAGTTTATCTTTAAGGTGTGGCTGAGGACAATCAAAGAGGTCTGACTAAAAAGCATAAAGGGAGGAACAGTACACTACTTTGAGGAAGAAACTGTCATATACTGTACACTACTGGAAGCGTTTATAGATGTAAATACTGTACAAAAAATATAAGTACTGTACTGTATCTCTGTAATAGGAAATACCTTCTTCATTTGTTCTTCTTTCACGGGACAATTCTTTTCTCGTAGTCTCTCTTGTCGTCACAGTAGGTAAGTCTGTTTGGTGTTTATCATGACTAGTTTTGTGCCTCTGTAATACACCAACAACATGTATATAACTAATTATAGGCCATAACTATTATATAATTAAATCAAACAATCCTATTCTCTAACCTCTTAACAAGGAAGTATACTGAACCCTCACTAATTTAAACGAATCAGACCCCAATGATATCAAATTAGCAACAGTTTAGTGTAAAGTACAAAGATCAACAATGCTCTTGTTCTAGTTCAAGTTTCTGGTCAAATACTGTAGTGTGTAACATACTCTGACTTCTACCACAATATCCCATTCCAGAACTGCCTAGCACCCTCTGGCCATATGGTATAGTGTTTAAGTAATAAAAGTAATACTCAACATAGTGTGACTTTTGGTGCTACAGCTCAATGTCTTCAGCACCTCACTTGCTCTTCTACATAGGGTTCACACTTCCAGCTCTGACCCCAACTACATGCAGTTCCTTCCCCTTGACTGCATGATCAAACAAAATTCATGCACACAAACAAACATGTGAACAAAACAATGTGCGAACATACAAAATGATATCAGCATCTGCTCTTTGATCCACCTCACCCCATAATAAGTGGCCTAACTAAATACACTTCACCAAATTTTCCCATTGTGTTAAATTTTCTGTTTTAAATGGGGAGTAATTCTCTCAGATCATATAACACTTATAAATTATCCTGAAGTAGAAAAGTAAGCAAAATCCAAATCCTCATATACTTTGCTTTTTTACACATAAAACTTGAAGAGCTTGTTTGTAAATAATCACCTTTGACTGGGAACTACTGACTGCCTTAACACTGTCTGTTCCTGGTGATGACAACCTTACATTACTGGCGTTCTCCTCTTTTCTTATCCCAGGAGAAACTGAAAATATTTAACAAATTTAATATGATTTAAAGACAACATTCTCAATTTATAGTACTAAATATGCTTACATATACTGTACAGGAGGTCCCCGACTTACGAACACCCGCTGATAAGAGCGGGATTAAACTTGAAATTTATAGTACGGTATTTTATTTACCTGTTGACTTATTTTTTTTACTTTCATTTACTGTATTTTGTCATTCTATTTCTTCTTTTGTCTTAAATTATGTTATTTTAGATGTATATAAGGACTTAGGCTATGATATAGTGGGATTTTAAACATTGTTGTGTAAGTACGGTATATAGCATGTGTTCCGACCTATGTACAAATCCAGCTTACGAATGTCCTCAGGAATGGAACCAGTTAGTAGCCCAGGGACCCACTGTACTGCATTAGTTAATAGTAAATACATTACCATGTCTCTGAAACTTATGTAAACATATATAGAGATAACTGTTAACAAGAGACAGACAAGATGGACAGTACTACATCACAAAATACGGTTACCTCGGCATCAGTAAACTGGTCTCATTACAAACTAAAGGAGAGAAGATTCAACTTACCTCCTCACTCGCCCTACCACCTCTATTACAGGGTTCAAAACAGATGATATCTAACTATATTTTTCATTTTGGCTATACAGTATAATACACTTCAATATTTTCATAACCCTGCCACTACCCTAAGCCAGGAACGTGGTGCAACTAGTCACTATCGTATTTTTTACGCCCCGAGGTCCAAACACAGCTTCCACACCACAACAAAAAACAGCAAGTGGAAGCTTTAGCACGGATGGATGAGTTAAATGTGAGTTAAATAACGAAGAAGTATTTGTAGAACTGAAAGAGTGGAAAATATTAGGAAGTGAATGATGAAGGTAAAGGTGAGACAGACCTGTTACAAGGAACTGATGTGTGAGGAAATATAGTACTATACAGCCTCAGAAAAGTAGAGAGACCAGCCTGGGTGTGTGTTATCTGGAAGTCATTGGTGCACCTCCCTCAGTTTTCCCACTGTGGAATATATAACTGCTGCCCCTTTGCTTTATTCCAGTCATCTAATGAATACAGTACATATATTATTCTACAATTGTTCTATTTAGTTTTACTTCATGAATATTTTACTACTGTACTGTATATTTTTTTTTTTTTTTCAAAATAATATAGGGTGGAAAAAGTTTGTAAGACACTTCCTCTGCACTGAGGATTACACACACTGATGCCATTTGGTCAAGAGGTCAAACCATGCTGAGTCCAGATCAACCAGAATCCAGACCAATGGGATCCAGATTAGTGAGGTTTCATGGTAATAAATAGGACACACTATGACATGCTTACCGACTTCATTATGAGTCGAACTATTACTTGCAGGCTTCTTCTTGAGAAAAGAACGGTGAGGAGATACAGTGACCAACGTGGAATCATTAGTTACTTTATCACAAGGTCCGTGGCTGGCCAGTTCAAGGATGCGTGACAGGTTGGCTTCTGCTCGAGCTTTGGTCTCTCTACTTAACCCAACCTCTGCAAGTGAAATGTATCTAATATGAAATGTAGCTCTTGGCTCAAACATATTAACACACCTTTGTTTCATCCCATTTAATTGACAGTGCAATATGGCTATAAGACAGAATTACAATTATTAAGCTACCCTAAAACTTACAAAATGATATACTGAAGAGCCTTGACCTTCATGAGGATCGCATTCTTGAAAACTCCTGTAAACTACCCTGATGACCTGATGGTAGACCTTCATGCTGTTCACTCACTTGCAGTTTCTCTTGTTTGGTTCTTATCTCTGAGGGCATTTCTTACATTTCCTTAAGTCATTCTTGGCTTACCACTGGCTCTCCTCACCTCACCATTCAAACTCATTTATTTCCTCCATTCTCTCCCCATGCCTAAACCACCTCAGTCAACCTCTACACAGAACCTCATACTATTAATAAATTTTAAAAAGTCCCTTAAACTGGTAACTAATATTACTGAGAAACTACTCACCTCTACGTACAGCTCCTGAACTACAGCCATGTGCATAGATTCCCTGACGAATCTGGAATTAAAAACAAAGGGAAATAACCATTCATGCTCTGTAGATATCTTTAACAATAAAGTTTTTCATGTGATGGAGTATTAACTCATTATGTGCAGGTTCCCCTCTGAGCTAAATAGAATCGTCTGGTGGTAGCCAAATAAAATCTTAAATGTGGTGTCCCCGTAGAATTTCATTTATAAGAAAATCACAATCAAATAGCAATATAAGATGCATTGTAACCTAAAAAGTAAGAGAACTACTGTATATAGATAATAATAATTCCACATAGGGTGATGCTAGTTTCTGTAGAGATGCTAGTAGGTGAACAAATGTCCCCTAAAACAGAGCACTTTTTAGCCCCTATTCCACACACACACAAGACCTAAGATAACCAATATTGCAAACAATATACCTACAATTCCATTTCTGCTCCCCCTCCCTCCTCCTCACTTACAAGACCTTACCACTATACAGTACTATTGCAGTGAGGCTTAAATGATAAGTAACAGGCTTTGGCTCAGTCAGTAACATTCACTCTTTCTTGGTCCCAATATACTGCATGTAGGTTCAGATATAGGAAGCATACTAACCGTCACCCTTCTGCTAGAAACTGTGGAACTGTCCTCATTCTGCATACTCTGTAAGATGAATGAAACATATCAAAATATAAATTGAATAATGTTTCAAGGGATAATCTAGACTCAATTTCCTTTTGACATTCCTAACCTAAGCAAGCAGCCTCCACAATTAGTGGTGGTCTAGTCAGCGGAAGAAAACTGTTCAATATATCATGAAAACTGTTGGGTTTAGCTAAAAGAAGCAATAAGGGCATGAAGCAGGACTGACAGGGTTTTCCCATCAGTGGACATTTGAAGAGTTCCTGTTGTCCCATGGTCTCTGCTGACCAATCACATCACTCCTAAACTCATTTGAAAGTTATATCATCTAATGAGAAACATAAGCTTACACAGTAAGTCCCCTTCTCTACTTACACAGTAAGTCCTTCTCTAAATCTTACACAGTAAGTCCCCTTCTCTAAAGCTTACACAGTAAGTCCCCTTCTCTAAAGCTTACACAGTAAGTCCCCTTCTCTAAAGCTTACACAGTAAGTCCCCTTCTCTAAAGCTTACACAGTAAGTCCCCTTCTCTAAAGCTTATACAGTAAGTCCCCTTATCTAAAGCTTACACAGTAAGTCCCCTTCTCTAAAGCTTACACAGTAAGTCCCCTTCTCTAAAGCTAACACAGTAAGTCCCCTTCTCTAAAGCTTACACAGTAAGTCCCCTTCTCTAAAGCTTACACAGTAAGTCCCCTTCTCTAAAGCTTACACAGTAAGTCCCCTTCTCTAAATAGCTGACAGACTGGCAGAAGTAAAATTGGATACCTTTTTTTATTTATCATTTCCACTACTTATCAGTTTACTAGCCATTCAGGTAGTCAGTGAATTCTTGTTATGACCTTACTTGTCCAGTGTTGGGGTTGGTGGCTGATATAAATGAGGGTGTTATTGACTGATAAGTCAAGACTAAAAATGATCTTTTTTGTGAGAGACAGTAAGTGTGTCTTAACAAGTACAGTACTGTACTGTGTGCCCAGTACTGTACTGTACTGTACTTGCCAATAGAGTGTAACAGGTATATGACTGACCCCCCAACTGGCTAGAGAGCCGAGCAGCAGCAAAGAGGATGAAGTACAGTACTGGTAAGTACAGTAAAGTAAGACCTAACTGTGTGTGGGTACTGTACTGTATTAGAAAGCTAGGATTAACTATAAAGGCAGGTGTCATCAGCCAAGGGATATGCTTAATTGACAGGAATGAACAGTTATTAATGTGAAGAGAGTAAGAAAACGTGTACCATGAAAACTCCAACATTAACCCTTTGGTACTCCTGGCCATGGTGTCTCACTCCGTCACAGTCTTATGACGCAGGTTACGCCAGGAACAGGAACGGTTTTTCCATTTTTAGTAAACATTATGTAGAGATCCACACTCAAATTGCACCCTTAGAGATGGGAGGATCTTAGGTGATTGATGGGACCAGTCCACTGTTCCAGCATACTGTAGGGGTGCTCTCAGTGTGAGATATGGCTGAACAGGATGGGGTCAGGCCAGCACAGGAGTGCTTAGCGATGGAATCTGCATCAAGACACCATGAGAGGGTTAATGGGAAGTTGTCTGGACATGTCAACAAAAGAAGAGTCATCATAAGTTGTCAAGAGTATAATCAGAATTATGAATTGGGAGATGAAATGCATGTTATGGAATGAGTGGAAGAGAAACCACATTGGGTGTTAGTGTGGAATTGGTGTCGCCCAAGGCATTTGAATACAATACTGTAACTATTTGCCTTCAACACACTCCATGATGACTGAGGTGAAAGGTGAGGGTCTGATGGAGTGAATGACTACTGCGTAATTTTCACAAACAGCCCAGACATCACCTGGTCTCAAGATAAGGGAACATAATGGGGGGATGGTGAGTGGGTCCTGTAAGTGGGATACTGTACAACACACTAAAGATTTAGCCATAAAAAATAGACAGCTTAAAAATAGAAGAAAAAAAACGTTTGGGTACAAATTTTTACAAGGTGAGAAGTGGGATGCTGTCAGGTCTTGGCACTTTACTCACCAGAAACAACAATAAATACTATTCATGTAGCTAGACAATTTAGGAGAGTGAGCTGTATGAGCAGAATTTGTTGGAATTAAAAATATTTGTTGTAAAATCTGGAATAAACTATAAACTACCGGTAAATGATGACAATGCCAAGACCTGAAGGGTTAACTTGTCCTGTGACCAGTTAAGTGATACTAATAGAGCATTAAAAAATTTTCTATTAATTACCTCACTTAAATTGTTCATAAACCACAGGATATTTACCTTCTCTCGGTCTTTGTACCTCTGTACTTCTGCTCGCATAATGTTGCCCTCATTCTTGGGATTTCTTCTGGACTAAAATAAAAATACTGTAGTAAACTAACACATCTTACAAATACAGTATACTGTATATGTAGAGTAAATCATCTAACATCTGGTGCTGTAAATGGAAGCAGGACTACAGCCAGCCATGGTTACACAGCAGGCAGTTGCATCCAACATGACAGCCACAAAATCCTGTATGCACCCACAAAAACTGTTTAAACATCTACAATAACCCCTTAAATGTTCAAGATTTTTGTAAAACACGCTTCAGTGTCCAATTTATCAATTAATGTAAACATTCAATGATATTACAAACATGGTGAGATATTTTTGATGCGTGTGTCTACACATGTGAAAGTACAAATGTGTTTCTGAGTAAATGAGGAATATGGATGGGGATTCCCTCAGGATGATGGCATCTGTAATATGTAGATTCTGTCAGGCAATTTCTTTAACTTATGAGATTGTGACTTTATCGAGCCATGATTAAGAGTATTACTGTATGTTGGGACTTGTCTTTAACCCCCGGCAGACATGTCTCACAACTGATGCATATACTGTACTGGATTTCTCATGGGCCCAATTTAAATACCCCATATTTGGTATTTGCTGGGCATCATTGTAGGGGCTTATGGGAGCTGCCCCAGGGCAATGAAGGCTTCTCACCCATTATATCTAAATGGTTGGGCCCTGGATGAGGCGCTCATGTAGGATTGAAGTGATTCTTTGTTTTGTTGATTCCTCAAACACCTAAATTTTGATTTAGAGAATCGGGAGTTTATGGTAAAATGAATATGTTTTTAGGATATTGTATTTCTATACTCCCCCAGACATGATCACCTACACGTGTACTAAGTGAGCACTACACACAGCTCAGCTTGATACAAGGAACAGGAGTAAAATACATACAGTAACTGACTTAACAGATGGTATGAAGTATGACTCCTATACGTACACACAGCCTTCATATCACCATACATAACTCAAGACATTCCAGTACCTTGCCTTTACCACCCCTAAATTTCTCTGTCGACTTCTTTCTTCTCTCATGTACTCCAGAGAAAGAGGGATCTTTATCCATTGTTTAGCTAGTCTCAAGTACAGTGGCTACCTATGGATCACAGAAAATAATGACATGTTATTTGCTGCAGCTTGGAACTGGATAAGCATTTACAGTACATTACAGTTCAGTTATTTGAAAAGTGTATAACTAAATATTTGTTTTAAGTACAGTATAGTGTACTGATGAGTGTAATGTTTCTCGGTACAGTACTGTATAGTATTTACTATTACAAGCCTACCCTGATGTATGAAAGGATTCATTCTAGAACAAATATTTCTAAAAAAATATTTTGTAAATTGAAACACATTTTCCCATAGTCTACCATTGTAAAGGCTGACGTAAAAAAAATCCAGATATCTGAAGCCTACAAAACATTTTCTTAATAGTGGTGTATATGTATCAATATAAAACATAAAAAGTGAAATACTGTACATGCAGTAAGTACAGTAGCTACAGTAATAATTTTACACCTACAAGAAACTGGACAAGACTAGAAACAGCAAAAAGTGATCACAAGGAAGTGATATTCAACCTGACACTTAAAAGTCAGTCTCAGGGAAAATTCCAAGGAAGTGCCAGTTTTCATAGAGCAAATATTGAAGGTTTGAAAAGACAGCAGGGGAGAGGAGTCTTGAATTTTGGTGTTAATTACATGACCTGATGGAAGGTAGATAACATGACCTCACAAGATGTGACCATAGAGGGCAATACCACAGTACCAGGTGGCCGGACCATGAGCTACAATGTTTCCAATTACCATAGCTTCAAATACAGGTTGGGCAGATATACGTGCAATATGGGTTGGATATAAACGGGGCTGCCTAGTATGGGCCAGTAAGCTTGCTGCAGTTTCCTCCATTCTTAGTTCTTATTTATAGCAGGTAAAGACAACTCCCATCTGTATGGTACTGCTGTTGTATTTTCTTCATATGCTTGTACTTCAAATGATATTTTATTCTTTCCAATAATTCAAGAATGAAGAAAGTAACATTGAATAAGTAAGTACAGTAGTTGTAAATGAATGTGGTCACTTGGAAATATGGTTAGGTTAGGTTTGCAAGTGACCAAATTCAGTAATGCACAAGACCAGCATCAATCAACACAAATGCTAGAGAACTGAGGGATGTAAAGGTCCACGAGCAGACAAATAGCCACTGTCTTATGTAAGAGTTAAGAGAAAAACAAATCACAAATACAGGGTAATGCAAATCCTCCACCTCTTATGGGATATTCTTGAGGCATAAAAAGTTATCTTCTGTTGTCTTGTATTTAAAAGATATAAAACCTTGATGTTAACATATGGTAAGGCTGACAACTTTCAAAAGTATTAAATATTGCTACATTATATAAATTTTCGTGCATAAAAAAACTAACCTTCCTAAATTTAAGCTCTACGTAAACTTAAGCTTTCACCAAAACATTACAGTATTATATTATTTAGGTTAAGTTGGTTAGGTTAGGTTAGAAATAAAACCTTTACTGCTAATTTTACAGGTCCCAGTTAACCCGAGTCACACGAGACGGTAGAAAGACGTGTAAATACTTCTTCACCCAGAATGACAGACCTCTGAAAGACTCTACCTACAGAAATTATAACAAGAACAGTACTGATAATTAACACAACCCTCGGCAAAATAATGAGAAAATGGACTATGGAGGAGATAAGATGCTTGTAAATAATAAACACAGGCACTTCATTTACACCAAATACTAAAGTCAATTGCATGAAAAAATCTCCATAATATTCAACAAACCTTTAAAGTAAGATGTAAGAGTGAAGTATTGAGAATATAGTTAATATAATGTAAATATTTCGCCTCACCACATTGTCCACCTCGAGACCGGTCACTAGTTCCTCCTCGAAGACCACAACACAAACTTAACTAAATTACAATTATTTAGCGGTATCTTATAGGTTGTATACAATAATATTAATGTTATTTTTTTCTTTAAATTTTCAGGAACAAAAATTTTAATACAAAGGTGAACTTAAAAAAAAAACATTTAAATGGTCGCCACAGCTAACACTCACAGCTCTCTAAGTCCTCCTCGGGTATGGCACTTTATTTTATTTTCTTGGCACCTGGTCACCTCACTAGCAGGTCGGTCTCTATTCAGTTTCGCACTAGTAAGTTAGTAACAGTTATTGGGTATGATGTTACTGGAGGTGTAGCTTGAAGGTTCAGAGACGTCACTTGTAGAAATGCGCCTCCGAACGTAATCAGAATAAAATACACATTTAGATTGTTTCTTACTTTATAAACTGAGTTATAATCTGACCTTTTTAACAATGAAGTAAATCCACAAGCGACTTAACGGGACTTAAATTTTTCTTCTGTGAATTGTAATGGGGGGGGGGGGTTGCATAGGGAAGTCCCCAATCCCTCCCAGGAGCTACACCCGTGTACAGTACAGTACTATGGCACTGGCTTTTGGATATTTAAGTTCCTATAAATGTGCCAGTGTTGGTTAAGTCTGGAATTGAAACTGAGACGTGGGGTAAAGAGGGTTTGTTGTGTCGGAGCTGTGACCCCAGTACCTCCATTTAGGAGTCTCCAGAGGTAAGTATGGCTTTGAAATACAGTACAGTAGAGGGGAATTGTGGGGTAAAAATATACAAAAAACTAACCTTATCTTACTTAACCTAACGATACAGTATTTCACTTTCTTTTTGCTACTGGTATAATAATGGCATACAGTAAGTCCAGTACTGTAGTAATAAACCCTATATCACCTTTAATTAACATCCAAATGCTAACTGAAGGCAGCGGCACACTGGGATGGTTTGTTGACTCCTCTGCCCTATGTAATGAAAACAAACACAAAGCATCTAGAGGTTCACCATGGGTCCCCTTACTACAGTTGATGCCTTGCAGGAATGTGCTATAGTTCTTCAATTGCTGAAGCAAGTGAGGCGTGTGGATAAGCTAAAGAAAAGACAATGGGAGCATCAGGAAGTTTCTTTAAAAGTGGCGGCAGCTGGCTGGTCAAAGAAGACCCTGAATAATGATTTAATAAAACTAAAAGTTTTAAAGTGATGAATAAATAGAAATATGTCACAGTTTTATGGGTTATATTTTAAATTATTATTGTTTCATGATTTATTTCAATATTTACTTGAACATTCAACACCTAATATGAAGCTCATTTGACCACTAACCCTGCCAGCCAAACCATTGTCCATTTCTAGCAATGGCTGAAATCCTACTGCTTGCTGGGCAGTCAGGTCAGCGGGCAACACGTTTGGAGGAGTGTCCAGTGTGACGCTGCCTTTAACCTAACTTAACCCAACACAGCTCCAAGGGCAGATCCAGGGGGGCCTTGGGGGTCCAGACTCCCCTTTTCATCAGAAATTTGTCATACTTTTTCTTTAATGCAGTATTGTACTCGGGTGTATTTGTATAGTAAAAAGTAATTACTATTGATTTCAGAATATCTCCTAATATCAAGTGCACACGACTTAAAAATTACTTCAAAATGCCCATGACATTGGTCAGTTTTCCAAAATATTTCTGAGGGGCATAGTCGCTGCACTCATGTTTCCCCACCCAAAACTTCTTAGACCCTTTTGATATTCCTGGATTAACCCCTGCTTTTACTGCATTTAATAACCTTCCTCCCACTCCTTACACTTGTAATACCTCCCATAATGCTTTTCTGTTCACCCTATCATATGCTTCTCCAAATCTCTTATAAATCATTAAAACCATCTGTAAGTAGTGTACAGTAATACTGTAAAAACGGAAGAAAAAAATTAAACCCCCCCCCCCCCACAAAAAGGCAGATTAAAAGTTTTTAATCCATTTTAACCATTTGGTTTAAATCAGCCGACCCTGATTTTGAATACAGTACTATGGGTGATTTGCAATGTTGTTAGCATAGTAGTTTGTAATAGTAAGTCAGTTACAAGGTCACCTACATTGTAACTTGTGAAGTGTTGAATAGCATCACCTTGAGGCCATAGCAAAAGCAATCCAGTGGGCCTCAGAGCGACCCATCTCGGTCAGCTTCAGGAACACCCTTCTATGTATAACATCGCATTAAACTGACTGCAGTATTATGCTCTTGATGGTGGAGCTGTGTCTCAGGGCTTCATCTTTTGAAAATTCTAATTAGAGACAGACAGTCTAGGTATGTATAGGGTCTCTATTATTTCAACTTCTGTACAGTAGTTTATTAGCAAGGTTCACCTCACTGTGGTCCAAGAACTTTAATTCAGCGACACCATAAACCTCCAGATTTATTCTCTCTGCCGGTAAAAGGTGCCCTTCCTTATTGCTATTACAACATGAACATCATTTTGCATTTGAAACAATGAATTTCAGTGTCCATTCCGGTAACCATGCCTGGAGCTTGTCATTCTGTAAGGCTTCAATCATAGGTTCCAAGTTCTTGATCCCTATTGAATGTGATACAGTATTCTAAAACCAGTGAACAGGTATAGTTATGGTTGTAAGTTGTTCTGTACCGTACATTATAAATGATACCTGTAACATTGTGTCATGTTCTGCAGCACATGAACATAAAACTTCTAGTTATTAAGGGTTATAAGTTCCCATTGCTTACTGAATGAGATCGATCCATTTTATAGATTTTTATTTGAATGTCTCTCTATATTGTAAATAAAATCTTGGTACCTGTCGCACAATTCCTGACAGATACCTGTAATTGGAATTTCTACTTGAAACGTGTCTAAATCATAGGGCTGGACATGGATTGGTCAGCGTATTGTTTAATGATGGATTTTGTAGTTAGCTAACTGTAGATACACCGATGTTGGTCAAGCCACAGACCAGTGTGTTACCACTGCTTGTGTTTAAGCTATTGACTTTGGGTGTATATGAGGTTAGTGAAAGAGGTGTTTACTAACAGCCATTTACTATACTCTCAACACAGAAACGTAGAGCTCTTTACACCTAAAAAGCCAGTGAAAGGACAGTAAAGAAAAACAAGTACATTGGGCCTCAATCATAAGAGATACTACAGTAGGATAATTTTCATTTCAGTAATTTGTAATGAGGTTAACAAACCAATGGTCTACCCAAATAATTAAAAGAATAATGACACTGCCCATTGTCTGACAAATATACTGTATAAAGTAAATGGTTAAAGTAATATCTTTCACTGTGTAAATCTACTGGCACATACACATCACTGAACAACCAACTTTTTTAAATAATCACAGAACAAAATTAAATTCTACTAGAAATATCTATATTCAACAAATTGGCTTCATTTTGTGGTAAGACAGAAGACAACATTTATAGTCTTGCACGCTGTGAACAATACTGTGCTGTACTACTGATAAAGAGTTTCATTAAGATGAGCTTACAGAAACACTAGTCAAGCTCAACCTTAATGATAATTTCTTGAAACTGCTCATTAAGTCCTTGTCTCAGTCTCTAATATAATTGGAATTTTTAACAGTATCACAGATGATATAATGTACTGTGCAGTACTGTACCAGAGGTGGTACTGTACAGTTTACTTTAGGAAAATTGATATTTATCAGTAGTCAAAATTTGTAATCTTGTAAAATTTCCAAGATGAATAATCCAAATTTTCAGGTTTTTGTCATGTAGCTAAATAAAGATTTATGGAATCAGTTCAAAGCTGCATTACAGATTAAATCATAAATTGTAATGATGTATTTACATCATAAATTAATAATAATTTGTATATTCTAGTATAGAATGGTGCACATTAGTTAAAACTAAGTATAAAATTTTCTTACAGCCAGTGTGCAAGTACACATACAAGAAGAAGCAAGCAGAACTTGGCTCATGTAATGGTAAGTAATAAAACACACAGTACTGTACTAGACTTTTAAGAGCAAATTGACAAATTCCATAGATTAAATGAAGCCTTTTATCCTACCAACAAAACAAGACCATAATAATCTTCAATTTGTGCTTTCACTATACTTTCTTGAGACAATACATGGGGCCAAAAATAATCACAAGATGATACCACTCTTGAAGGTCAGTGTGCTGCCCCTTATGCCATCAGGAAGAGAATCATCTTGTTCCATTGCTTTTGTTTGTGACTGAAAGTTTGCTATCCTAACATCTCTCATATCTGAATTATATTTTGGGTTAACAATGGTATGGTTGCAAAAGGAGTGGCATTAGTCCTATTGAAGGTTGGTGTGAAGACTCTTCAACTGTACAGTACTTGTCTCCCCTGCAGGAGTGAGACGCTGTTTTATAATGAAATAACTTATTTTTCTCAGTTTAATATATCACAAGATTGACACACATTTATATATATATATATATATATATATATATATATATATATATATATATATATATATATATATATATATATATATATATATATATATATATATATATATATATATATATATATATATATTATTCCAAATCAACAATATTGAGTTAAGTTGGAGAAGTCTTCAACCATAAAGCTTCAGTAGTTAGCTTGTTCTGTACTGATCATAAGTGAGCCCTAGGAAATATTTGGCGTTCATCAGGAGTTCTAGACACCACTCACCGACCTTGTCATATTAGGTTTCATGTACATTATGGCAAAAATGTTTCTACATTTAATACAGTTTGGCCATAAAACATGAAAGTGAATAGACGAGCCCAGTCAGGTGTAAAAAGGGGCACAACAAATGTGGCATTAGTGAAGGGTTGTAATTACTGTACTGTGTTGGACGTTGAATATGCATATCCATCAAAGGTTAAACCGCAATTAGATTTTATGAACTTTAGGGGATTTCATAATTTTTTTTCCCCCTAAGGAATTGAGTGCTCTTGTGTAAGCATGTCTAAAAGTAAAGTTTCTCTTTGAAAGATGGTATCAGGGGCTAGTCATATTATACTATACTGTATACAAGTATAATTTTATATTTTTTTTTTTTTTTTTTTTACATTTTAGCAACTTTATACTTATTCAGTATTACAAAGATGATAGCTTCACTTTCACGATGGCCAAAGAAACATGCAGAATTCTTTGTCAAGTATTAAGAGCATTGATGTTAAGTCTCCAGCAAGAGATATATGGTAGTAATCAATGGACTCTGCAGGGAACTCTGCTTCTAACGTGGAAGATTTTTGTTTTGGGGGCGGGGCGGGGGGGATAAACTGCCAGTACAGTGCCAGAACTTTGATAGAGATGCATTTTTAATGTTCACAAGGTAATGACACTACAAGGTTGCTAATTACAGCCTAAGAGTCAACAATGAGGAATCTATTTTTGTTGCATGTAAATTTTATTATAAATTAGTCAAATTACTTCAATACCTCGTTCCCAGTGTCATGTGCTAAAGATTTAAGTACATAAGACCAAGTGTTAGTACCATCTGGTTGTTCTTGTACAGTATTATATTATATGCAACAAAATAATTTGCTCTTTTGATTAATATACGTAGTCATTTACAAGGAATATAACTAGTGAATCACAAGCTTTACAGGATGAGAAATATTAAGACTGATGAGTTATTTTTTATGAAATGTGGATGACTATTAATTTCTTCTCACGGATGACATCACAGACCATAAGACAACCCTCAGAGGCTTGGCCAAAGCTTAGTACACTAGTGTTCATTCTTTAGTTATGGATAGATAGAAGAATATTGAGCACTGAAGCAACATCCATGCATAACAACACTGCAAATATTTTTATTGCATGGAGTGCACAATAATGATGTTGGGTTGAAGAATCTCCATTATTTCCTTATAGATTAAGGATGAACATTTTGTGTATATATTTAGATGGCACAATGTTTAATACCAGGGTAATGTGTGTGTGTGTAGATAACATTAGTTTAATTTCTTTGTGTGAGAAGAAAAAGAAAATCACCTTGAGCTTGAGTGATATTTTTCATACACAAAAAATGAATCTGACATCAACTGAACTTTTAAAAGAATTATTTGATACAGTTTGATAAGCAGTGAGCAAAGTGACAAGAATATCTTTTGTGGTTTAATGCTAAATGTATTGTTATATGTATTAAGATATACTTTCAGCCTTTATTGAACATGAACTGGGCTTTTGTAGAGTTAAGTGCCCAGCCAACTAATGTATACTGTGTTGCAGGTGTTATGGTTCAAAGTGCCTTTATAAAATCCTTTGTCAAATGGGGTTCAAAGAATCTAAATTGTCTGTAATTAATTATTGTAATAAGGAAGGGGAAACTAATTAATTTAAAGAGATTAGGCACTTTACTCAATATCATAAGACTATATATGTAAGAGTTGTTTGAAGAAATAAATTCTCTTACACTGTAAAGGCTCAGCCAGACTCCTTTAGTCTAGAAACTCTTACACTCTGTAGCTAATTTGATTTTTGTTGTAATTTTATCTTTAAAGTAACGTCATAAAATTGCAATCAGGAGGAAAGTGTGTTCTAAATTATGTTGTTCATATTATGAGTTTTTATTGATAAGAAAAAGATGTGGGTTGATAACAAGTATAAATGATACACTCTGTATGTCCCTTAACCTTCTCTTCAGTCTCTGTATTGTGACATTGAATGGTCTCATCTCCCCAAACTTCAGAATTAGGACTCCAGAATTGAGCATGTTGAAGCACTGACCAAGCCTCAGTGTTGTAGGTCTGCACAGAACAAGTTACAATAATAAAAACATGGTGGTGTATAAATGAGAGATGAAATGTTGATAAATACAATGATTAAGGATAAGTTATTTCATTTGATAATAGCTAACTTTATCTGGTATCTAAAAATAAATATTCTAGATAGAATTAGAATACACTTCAAAGTATACTATCAGTACCAACTGCCACAGAATTACACAAAAACTACTGCTAGTAAGTTCAGACATATGACTTATTCTTTATTCATGGTCTAGAAATAAAATAGTTACACAAAATAATACATATTAGTTCCAGATGACCTTATATGACTCACAGCACTAGAATTTAACAAAGAGATTACATAGTGAAACAGATGGTGTCTCAGATTTTCTTGTACTGGGTGATGGCCTTCTATACATAAGAGACAACTTAATACAAGGCCTAAACATGACAAGTAACCAGCTTGTAGCATATTAGGAACAACAAACTGTATAACTCACCCTTATACTGTGTCTCTCTATATATATACAGTACCTGTTTTCCACCCCCACATTGGCATAGGTCTACACACTCGCACCATTTATCTTCAGTGTTTTGTGGTAACAGATTTAGTACAGTTTCTGAGAGCACCTCTACTTGGTTTTCAGTAATGGATGAATAAATTATCAAATATTTCTGAATGCCAAGACAGAGGTAATTTTGATGAATATATAATTAAGATAGTGAAATTAATGCTGAGAATGACAAGAAAGTATGAATGGAATTAAAAGGACAAACAAATACCTGATAAATTATACTTTGCTAAGCAGTGTGTAGTTATAAGATCAAACTAGAGAAGTGTGTAAGTTATGTATTAGAAAAACAAAATAGGTCACTTTAAGAAGGGCAGCTCACCCTAGTTCAAGGTGTCCCTGTATCTAGATTTACAGTACTACAGTGTTTACACATGAGATTCAGAACATCTGTATTATTAGGATGTTGTAACTCAAGAAAACATTGCTGAATCTTGATTCCCTCTCTCCTATTTTTGTTAACACTTTTGATTCCTTTATATTACAATGATGAATTGTTTTGTGGTGCCAATGATGACTGCCAAGTCTCTTTAACACTACAATATGTGACAATGTCAAGTTTGGAAAGGAATTTTTATATCACCTGTCAGAATACAGTAAATGTAGATAGTATATTTAGATAAGTAATGAAATCGTTAGATGTGAAGGTATATAGTTCATTTATTCATTTGTATAATAGTTTTATTTTAAGGATTTTTTTTGAGCTGCTTAATAGTGAAATGTGAAACACCAAACAATCTCCAGCCATATGTCTATCACTAGCAGTAGTAAGTCATGATATTTTATCAGCCTCATACATCTGAGGTTCCCTTTCGTTCTGCACAACAACCACACACACACACTGCCTCACATTACACTTGACATAACCAGTTAAAGCCTTCATAGTTACTTCTATGGGTGTTCTGACCAGACATTATCAATAATACTGGCCACAAGCTCATTATCCTCACCCTAAGGTTTTGAGACAAATATATCACACAGTTCACTCATACAGAACTTCAAGGTCAACATACTGTATGTGAACAAATTCATTGTTTTTATTCTATCTTCTCTATTCAGACACATTTTCTTTAAATGATGAGGTATCCAGATACTAACTGGAGAACATAACATAATGATGGTGATTTGACACTAGTTAATTGGTGGTTGCGTTAGTCCAAGCACATTGTTTGGTGTATGTCTCATCAATGTGGCCCTTAGAAATCTCATTGGCTGTTCAGAAATATTTTAACTGTTCTGCATAATTAAATGGATAACTTGCAACTGTTATAAGGCCAAGTTTCAATGATATGTTCACATCAAGTAAACGTTTCATTTTTATAGTTGTTTTTTTAGTTTGTTTCAGAGGCAGCTTATACACTACAGTAAAACCCCATGAATCCATAATTAGAAATAGGAATTCTTTTTTTTTTTTAATATCTAAGAATGGGATTAATATTAATATACCAGTACTTGTGTAATTTTTCACGATTGTCTCGTGACCTTAATAAAAATGTGTCAATTATTTTTTACTGAAGAATAATAAAAAATGTGATAATTATACTTAACAAAAACTACTTGCATGTGCAGTATACAGTCTATGCCAAATACACGTAAAAAAATACCAATAAATGCTTAACAACTTTGATACTGTACTGTGTTGGTGGTTGTATATACTGGAAACTTCCAAGTACCGTAACCAACTCAGGGTCCGTGAGGGTCTGATAACAGGGTTTTTCTGTCAACAGTGATGGAACTTTCATATGTAAATTACAAAGGTTTGCTGTACTGTATTGGCAACCATTTTGTTCCTGTCAAGAATCATTTTAACTAATACCTGTATAGTACTGTGCTTTAATATTTACTTGTATGTGACACATGTTTATTATGTAATAAAAATATCACCTGAAGGTTGAGCCTTATTTAGTATTATTGTTAATTATCTGTAAGTTACTCTGGTGTTAATTCATATATTCTGGGGGACTCGTAAGACTGCCCGAGTTAATGTGAATTAGCAAAGGGTTTTACTGTAGTGTTAACATACATGTAAAACAATGTTAGCAATAAGTTGTCCTGAATGTGTAGCCTCTGGAGGAAAGTTATCCATTGTGATTAATACAAGTACCAGTGTGTGTTGATGAGGATCTGGCAACAGCTGTGTTGAGGGCAATACAATGACATATTGGACTGATTCTGATATAAATTACTAAGTACCGGTACTCCCACCAATAGCCTTATGTGTTCCTAAAACAGTCTATTTGAGCTGGAGGAGTATTGAATTTTATAAATATATATTTTTAAATATGGAAATTAATGGGAGTACATATAATAAATTACAAATAAATACAAGAGTCCTCATATGTACTGTAATATATGATCTGATCGATCATTCATTTCCATATATGATACAGTTTTACTTGATTATGTCCTGCATTACCTATCCCATTGAAGTAAAGATCAAATTCTACCTAACTGTACCTAGGAACAGTACTAATCCCATTCAGGAGTTTGCACAGACTACAGTTGAGCCAGTTGAATATTCAACTTAAACTAACCATATTCTTCTCCTTTCCCCAGTCATTTTAACACTTGCTCATCAAAATCTAATACATATTCAATGTAATTTAACTTGTACCAACAACAAATAGTATTCTTCAAAAAACTTCCAACAGTTGTCTATGGACAGTATCATACATATACAAGAAATTTTTTAAATTATCACCTCATACATAGGCTTTATTACCTACATGTTGTGTTGTTAGTTGAAAAATAATAGTACTGTACAGTAGTTTTAAGTATTACCGTTTTATGATGAGACGTAAGATTTATGTGATGCATTGTGTACTGAATCATGTATTAGTGTGTCTCTCTCTCTCTTAAATGATGACAAGAAAATATTACCGATGCAGATAACAAAACTCATGCTTGAGGTCACATTGTCGTGCCATCCAGGGAAGTGTTCCCAAATATCTTTAGGTGTTCACTTGTTTCAATGAATTTTGAAAGGAGAAACATCAATGTAACATCAGAAATATTGAGCCTTGGTTGGTGCGCTTAAATGTGGCTCACCATTATAATTAAAAAATAACAGAATCAATGGACAGCTATCTCTACAGCTACAAAACATGAACACCAAAGATAATTATTTTTATTTAGTTCAGGACACATCCCTGGATTTACTAAAAACAATTAGTATATAAGAGGTCATCTACTCAAATGACATATCAAAACCAAAATTGGTGAAGCCTGATTGTCCATTTACTCACAACAAGCAGTGTAGTACTACTTCTCTCATCACCATAAAGTTGCCATAAAACCTTTCACACTTCCGGTGGCTATAGAAAAGTAACTCGTTCTCTCGTACGACAAAGTATCTCTACGAGCGCCACCTAATGTAAGGGTAGAGTTCTCTCTCGCAATATCTCAAACAGACTCTTAAGCAAGTACAACCTGAAAATCATAATTGCCTTGTTATAATTGATTCCTATAAGAACAAACACTTGATGATTAACATCAATACACATTCCACACACCTCGGTGAGAAATAATATGAGCAAAATGTTTTTGAATCTGTCACTGGGATGGAAGCTCATTCACTAAGTGGTCCTTAAATTGTTAAGAAAATTGTAATTATCAATTTAGACAAAGTATACAAATATAAACGTTGAAAATTGTTACATTTCAATAACAAATACGTAATTGGAGTAAACTTGACGATATTATAATTTGTCGGTACATGGAAATTAGAGAAAGAATTAAATTTGATGGATACTGGCTCTATTAGGAGTTGTTGTGAGGACGTTACAACATCTTGAATATTTTGTTGAACTTTGCACTTTTGTTATAATAAAGGCATTGTAGTTTATGTACTATACATCTGTGTGTGGTATGCATGTATGAAGAGATTACAGCTGGTATTATTTTTAACTCCTTATACCTGTGGGAGATTACCTGTGCTTGTTACCTTACTAAAAATTGGTCAGAAGTATGCAACATTCTTGTGTTCTGCTACTAAACCAAGTACTGAATAATAAACCATTACTTCAAGTTGTTAAAAGTAATCAGGTTGACAAAAATTTACGTACCAATCTTATTTGTAAATTTAGGATGTAAGTTACTGTGTCTTTAGTGTTCATAATGACTTTCTATGTTGTTGTATCTCATGTCTACCAAGTTATGTGATACAGTCATATGTTGCCTCAAGTATACACAGTACACCTCATGAGATTGTGATATATTGTATTAGTGTTATTTGATGGAGTCAGTACGAAGATGATTTTTTTTTACATGATTAATGATACCAAATAATCCACAGCCTATTTAGATGTATTATGATCACAACTTTGGTTAAACAACATTAATAATACCCATAGTAATTAGCCAGTGTAATACAAAGGCCCTATGTAATGAATGTACAGTTACTGGCTAGTGTTAACAATTTCAGTCTACAGTACAGTACTCTTTACAAAATTTCAGGAAATAGTCCATAGTGTAATCCCAGCCAAACTAAGAGTATAAATTCATGCATTTCTTGGTTATGTTATTAATTACACCAAATTATGGCACAGTTTGAGGTCAATATCAGTTACAAATTTCAAAATACTGTAGAAAATTACTCTACTGTAGATCCATCGGAGATTAGGTTAGAATTTTTCTCTTGGCGTTAGTAAACCCAATGTTAACAAGAGGATTGATTTAATATAGCATGTACGTCTATAAGCATGTAAATGATATAGTTACTCGTGTTTGTGCTCGACCTGATGCACCAGGAACACTTTTATAGAGACACTGTACATTGTTTTATGGAACTCTTGTAATCTTTATCCCACAGTCAAGGGAAGATACACGTCTTCCTTCGTGTTTACTCCATAACTGCCGTAAAAATGTTCAGCTGCGGTGGTTCTCTTTCACGTGGAAAAAATTATTGTATCCTTACTGTTGTTCCTGATTTAAGTGAACGAGAGAGATTACAGTTGTGGTGGTGTGTAATATACTGTACATGCCTCTGAGTGTTGGTCAAGTGCCTTGGTCTTTATTAACTGTTCCCAACTCTGCCCTCTGAGCCAGAACCCTCCAAAGTATATTATTAAATTATACTGTATAATGAACTTAATACAAATTATATTACATTTTATGGAACTTCCATTAAATTTAAATTCTGTATATGATATCTTAAATTTAACTGATTTATTCTAGTCTAACATATTGCTTTACACATCCATAACTAATCCTTTGATATTTTCTTTGATTTTGCCTACTGTATCTGACTGCCATACCAGATCACAAAAAAATCTCTGAGCTGCAATCTGTAAGATATAAAATATTAAAAACAAGGAGACGTCTGTAGACCAAATCTTCACAGAACTTAAAATACAAGAGCAGAAGGCAGAGGGAATAAAGTTTATGTATCATCTTCCTCTTCACATCTTTTATTTACTTCAAATATTTTAAATTTAAACACTTGGTTCTATTGTATGTACAAATATTTGCCACCAAAACAATATTGATTTGAAAAGTTGAGAGAGTGGGTGGTAGATCACTTGTTGCTGGTCACTCATGGAAGCACGACACGGGAATATTGGGGCGTACAAAATATACCTCTCCATTGGTCTCCTTTTATCACTGATGTTTTGGTCTTGGGCCGCACGTTTTCTAGTTTGACTTGGCTTTAAACATAGCTACTGCTGTCTCCCAGTTATTTATCTTAAAATACGATTCTATTCTGATCTTTATTAATGAATACTATTGTATATTATTCTGATGTATGTTTTTATTTCTTGAAGTGTGAGAAAAGACAAATCCTTCATTTCTATGATAGTCAAATTATCCAGCTGTATACAGTATAATGGTGTTTGTACATCTGTGTGTTAGTGATGTTTGTAACTGTTTGTTATAAATATATATATATGTAATGTGTGTGTTATATATGTATGTAACGTGTGTTATATATATGTAGTGTATGTGATACATGGCAAGACCAGTATCTGCTGGGTGAGAAGAGTCAGGAGATAAGCTGCTGCCTAGTCACCCTCTACCACAGCAGGAAAAGGCTTGTATGGAAAAACAATTCATTGTATAATATTGGTGCTGTAGTGCTTCAGCTGTTTAAAATGTTTTACTGTAAGCAAGTAATATTAATAAGCCAATGTGAACGTTGTCTCTCGCCCTACACTTGAGGATGTTCGTGACCGCTGAACAAATGATGCACAATAATATGGCAGAGTCATCTGTTAATTTTAATTTATCCCATAATTCTTGTTTCGGTGAAATTGAAGATGAATCTTAAGAGCATTACAAAGTAATTATGAAACATTATAACTTTCATGTATTTTTTGGGGGTAATTTAAAAACTGTAAGCAGCAGATGGTGGTGATAGTTGTCTGCTACCATAAGTGTCTTTATCTGTAAAGATTTACACCAACAAATGTTACCACAACAGCCATTCATTACCATCATCAAGTCTGAAAAAACAATAATTATCAAAATACTAAATTCCAAATAGTTTAATAAAAGCCTGACTCCTGAGTGTTCTTATGGACACCTAAACTTCAACTGTATCAAAACTTGGAAAAAAAGGCGACGAAGCTTAAAAAAATATGTTTACAATTTCCCTTCATTACAGCTCAAATTTCAATGGAGGTAAAGCTTAAATGCCCACGATATTATTTGTATGGGTGCTGGACTTGTTGACATAACGAGTATTATAATTAGGTGCCTTCCAACACTATTGTGTAAAAGAAAAACAAAACTTAAACAGTAAGAAAAGCTAATAAGCATCATAAAATATAATATAAATATCCAGTCTTTACATTTCTTGAAAATACTGTAGTAAAAAAAAATCAAATTACACAGCATATATCCCTATAAGATTAACCATTTCATATAAATCTCTCTCTTTGTCTAATCTTTCAATCAGAGCTACTGTACAGTCCTTTCAGGTCTCCTTAATATTAGTACAAAGACTACTAAGGGAACTTGACTGTTGGTCTTGAGACCACTGCTTACATCCTAACTTTAACTATGAAAACCACAAGAATGCACCATAAATTTCCAGACTTGTGTTATTAAAACAACACATTACCAAGAGAGCATTTGCTGCCATAAATATTCATTATTGTTGTTAAACAACACATTACTAAAAAAAGCATTTGCTGCCTACATCTCACAAAAATTATTAACTATAATAGAGTAAAATGTTTTTGGAGACAAAGGAGATATTGAAAATGATGTATTTACTGTTCATCACCCAGTTTCTTATCCTGTATTTTACACATGATTACGGACATTGTAAACCTTCCTTCAGTATCCTGGTCTCCTGTGAACCAGCTGGACACCACAGAGAGAGTAACTATTACATATATATACTGAATACTGACTCATGAATAAATGGTGATGACTTCCCGACCTCCACCTCTCACCATCAACACTCTCTCCAGTCCTTCTGTTAAAACTTCCAAAAATTCCATGTAGTTACTCTCTGATTCTGGTCTTGACGTCTTGGGGGGTCCAGGAAGGTTAATGATGACAAGTTGTGCATTGTGAGACTTGTTCACAATCACTTCATTCAATTTAACAGCAGTGTGCATTCGTCGTACATTTGCCTCATCCCTGCAAATAATATACATTTAAATTCATGTATGAAGACTGTATGAGTAATGAAATACATCACTATTAACCTTAAGAAGCTGTAAAGACTTGTAGCATAACTAAGATATGATTATGGCACGGGGCTGATGGACGGTCCTGACACAGTTTAAAAGGCTGGATGGTTCTTTATCACTACAATACTGTAATATTTGTACTCTTCTCTGCTACCTTCATGAAAAGAATAGTGCATGTGGTAGTAAATATTTTTTAAATAAAGTAAAAAAAAAAAGGCATAGAGAAATTAAACAATAATGTACAGTACCTGTACTGTTTTACTATATATTTCACAAAACATTTACTACAACATGCACTATTCTTTTCATGAAGGTAGCAGAGAAGAGTACAAATATTACAGTACAGTAAGATCTCATATTTTGCGCGATTTCATTTCAGGTTTTTTAATTTCCCGAGCACTACCTAATGTAACTAAGTCTTATATTTGGTGTAAAATATCGTGAATTTCGCGAGATCCAGCAAGCTGAATGCTGGCCACCGTCTTGAATGACGTCACAGCCCTCATACCAGTTAGTTATTTCTGCTACAATGCGTGTTTTGTCAATGCGTTGATGAATAGGGGAACGCTGTTTGTAAAACGCGATTTTTTGCATACGAATGTTGGCTATAACACGATTCCATCCTCAACGTTTTAAGCGCTGCGCAGGGTTATGCAATGTTTACAGTTCACGTTCGACATCACATGTTGAAATAATTCGTGTCTTTTGTTTGTGAAGTGTTTTTTGAGAGGTACTCTGTAAATTTCGTTTTTAGGGAGGCAAATTTAGCTGTTACCCATAAATACTGTATGAAAAGAATAAGTAAAAAGAATGTTTCGCAGTGAGGACTAATAACGGTTTACACCAGCGCTCTTTGTTTACATTACGTGATCAGTTGAATCGTGCGGTTTTTGTCGATTGCTCCATGATTTTCGCTATTTTCTCCAATTTTGTTGTGTTAACGATGAATACGGAAAGACAAGGCAAGAAAAATGTTTTCAAGAAGCGTTCTGGTTATCGAATTGCCAGTGGTGAACGTAAAAGAGGTTTACAAGAATGTAACTATCGCGTTGTAGCCTGCGCCATCCTAGCGACCGCCCGGGCTGTTATTGTGTGCTTTTTTGGGTGGTGCTACCACCTGTCAAGATAATGGCCTCTACCTCTACTGTGGGTCCTACTGGTGCTGGTGGGGGTGGGACAGACCCACCTAAGCGGTCAAATAAGGAAAAGGAGAAACGGGACTATCATAAGGGAGTTAAGTTTGCCAAGTACTTGATGCAGGATAAGCAGCGGGTGATTAAATTACTTGAGGAAGGCCTAAAAACTAATTTCCGGAAAGCACAATCAGGTCAATAAAGGTAAAATATGTATCATTTGGAGGTTATAAATGGGAAAATCAGAGGTTAATGTAGAGTGGTCAGTCTATATTGTTATTTTTCCCATTAGTTTATGTATTTGAATTTTGCGAATTTGAATTTCGCGCAATTTTTTCAGTCTTTATTACTCGCGAAATACAAGACCTTACTGTACTGGTGGCAACATCATGTTGATGTGACTGCCCCACAATGACACCTCCATTTAACTGACAAACTAAGGCATTCCAGTATTTAGTGAACTATGGGTTGAAAAGCCAGGTAAACCCTAATTACTTAGCTGGGACTAATCCACTGATCATAATGAAGTTTAATTTATCCTGGCACTAATGTTGTTTTAATTTAAAATTGTATAATGCAGATGGAGAGTTAGAGACTTACGGCTTGATGGTGAGCAGTTTCTTGAAGCTTTCATTTTTGCTGGTCTTCTTCTCTGTGTCCTCAGATGCTCCACTCTGAAAGTACGGCTTTTATTAGTAAAGACGACCTCCACCGCATCAATGCCCAACTGTAGTATATTTTGAACCAGACTAATATATGTATTACAGTTTAAAATTAAAATTATACTTCTTTAGGGATAGCCATTCTATACTATCCTTGAAATAGTCAACACACTTCCAATCATGAAATAATGCACTCTCTGTTTTAACTCATTTAGTTACACTTCTTTAAACTTAGACACAACCAAGTACTGTATTCACGTAGCTAAATAAAAAATGAATGCCTCCAACAGCTTGAAGTAACTAGATCATGTCAGTTATAAATTCATGTGAGGTTTTGGAGGATCAACATCCCTGACAAGTTTCAAGATTCAACCACTATCAAGGTTTATCATGTCCACACCATGTTGGGCCATGGCTACAGTGGATGAAGAAGCCACATCATCTTCAATCTCATATCCTCCAAACTCATTTCTGAATATATTCATGGATTCTGTAATTTAATCTTCCTTCAAAATTCTGAACAATATCACATACATTCAAAAGCATGCTTATACTTATCTGATTTCCTACTCTGCACTGTCTATGTTATGTGTACTGTATTCCAAAAAACATGTGTGAGCTGTAGTCTTGAAACAATGAAGAAATGAGAAAAATTAATTGACTTTGGACAGGCAAACATCACTATTCATCAAGTTATAATGTAAAAACCAAATGACACCAAGATCTTACCATCTCTGCTTCTGCATCAGAGTCTAGTGCAGGCTCATCCTCCTTGAAGCGCACCTTGCTTGCTGAGTGCTCGCCTGTGGGGTGGTGATGGTCTACTATGGCTTGAACCTGTGACAATACAATGATGGTAAAATGTGTGAGAAGTGTAGTATGGCTCTTGTCTTATATAGTAATAATAATAATAATAATGCAAATGTCACCATTACACTCAGATTTGTTAGTGAATTGCAACTTTTATTTTAAATTTGTAAAATCCATTAACATTGAGAAAACTGGAAAAAGTAGCTAGAGACTTTTAATGACACATTTTATGAATATAGTAAATTAATTCTTTAACCTGAATTACAGCTAAACATACAACCACAGAGAGGAGAACTTTAAGGACAGGTTTGCTTGTTTTAGTTGAGGTCGTGACTAACACCGAGACATGCATGTTACGTCACTAACACGAGGCTTCAGTATTCTGGCTACATACATGGCATGTCATGTTTATTGGTGAGTGAGTGAGTGTGTTGCACCCCAAATGGTAAAGCATTACAATAACAGGAAGGCAAAACACTGTCTTCTCACACAATCATGAATTTCACAAGTTAAATTTTTATTGCTTCTAAAACTAAGTAAATATATGAGTATATTTATGGTAACATGATGATAGTAAGGAAGACATAATTTTCCATTTTAATTTAAAAAAATTTAAATTAAAAAATACAGAATAATTACATAAACATTCATATCGTGAAGTAATAAAAACGTACATAAACTTGTAGTACAGTAGAGATCATCGACCATTCCCTGTTAGGTCTACTCAAATTATTTATCCACCAGTATGTTTGTGTAAGTCATATGTAAAGTGCAGTTAATGACACACTTGTACCACAGTTACTTAGTTAATATGTACTGTACTTTATGTATAGTATTAAACTTACTGTACTGTATATCCAAAATAATCTCAAGTTTAATGTTTTAAAATTCTTCATTTAAAATCCTGGAAACATCTGCACTCAACTGTTGTCACACGGTGTTTGGTAATAATCTAAGCAAAAATTTTAATTAGTGGTAGAATTTTGGGGGTGGTTTTTTTACATACAGTACGTACTGTATTTTTCAAACTGATAAAACTTTTTTATGTAAATAAAAGTTCAAGCAGACTGTGGCTTGGACTGTACATAAACAGTAATAAATTTGTTATTCAAAACCCACTTTCAACCCCTTAAGTGGTGACAACACACAGCATTGACCTCACCCGTTTGTTACAACATAGATCTAAAATTAATTTCTTCCCTCCACATATCTAACTCAAATGTCTAAATTCTCATCTCCATATTTCTCATACAGTACTTCTAAACCTAACCCACTACCCTTCACACTGTCTGAAGAGGTTAATGGGTAGAGACTGCTGCCATTTCTCTAGCTCGGAAGTCACTTTGATGGGAGTGTATCTGATTTATCTTTTTAAATCTTAAACTTTATGATTTACAAGGCAGTGGGGGAGATTCTCTTAGTGATATATCAGGGTAACAGTAATGAGACCTTGCAGTACAGTATGGAGAGCTGCCATCAGGCATTCATGGTTAATTCACATAAACATGGATAATGGCTGTAAAATGGAGATGATGAAAATTTCTTTTTCTTTAATATATGGGGAAATTCTCTCACCAATGAAGGTGAGTGTTTTGAATTAATGGGGTTTTACTGATATATCTTGGATGCTGTTTACCACAGTCAAATCACCAACTTACATGCTAAACCTTTACCAAATACAGTACTGCATTTTGATCCTCAACCATTTTCATTATTACCGTTAAAGACACAATGGTAACTGTAGATACATGTGTATACTGTATAAGAAACAGTTTCATTGCCACACAAGCTAGCGACTGGCTAATACTGTACAGTACTTGCATTCTTAAGAATAAGCATAAATGAGATGAATTAGCAAGCAGGCAGTGCATTGTGGCATAAGCTCTTCCACTCCACAAATGGGCATCGAGGCAGACAGCATTTTCCTTCCTTGCATCGCTCTACACAACTGTTGACTAATATCTGCTAAGAAATTTCTGTTGTATGTTAACACATGAATTTCTCCACCCAGAGTTATTCCTTTCAGAAGCAACTCTGTGAGCAGGACCACCTCACCACCATGTGACCGTTCAGTATGTTTAACATCTACCGTACACTTTCTGATCAAAGAGACAATAAATGTCACATCAATCATTGCAGAGGTGTCCTGAGATCCTGTTTAGACACTTGATATTGAGGGAAGTCAGTTGTCTCTTGAAATTTATATTGCATCTTACGATGGACTTGAAGTGAGGGCCCAGTAGACACACATTACCCTGCTTTGATGTCAGCTTGATAAATTATGCATAATCTAAATAACAACAGACATTATAAAGTAAAATATCCAAGATTTACAAGGTATTGCCAAATTCATTGAGAGACTTGGCAGTGTATCTATTAAACCAACTGAAGTCTTTACCTTAGTATACTTCACTATTAACCTCTCAAGACTCCACAGAGAAAAATTGCACCATAAGGAAAACTCAAGTCAGCGACTACAAATTTTTGGACCAACACAGCCCACCACAACTCTATTATCTTCCTCTACAAGAAATGACAGTATAGTACAGAAGCTCTGCCTCACTCAATATATATACTGGAATAAATGTCTTATAAGCCCTCACAGTACTTGACAGTACAGTACTGTAATTAAAAGGTATACAGTACTTAAGTGACTACGTGAGGCTTGTGCGCTGGGACGTATCAAATTATGTTTCCAAAAGATACGCAATTTTTTTTTTACTAAAATGAAGCAGAATGATCAGATTAAATCAGTTAACATTCACTTCAGTCTGAACATTTAATAAGTTGATATCCAAAGTGTACTGAGGGCAGTAGCAGTAATTTACTAACAGAGAAACAGTTAATAAGACTACAGTGTGGTCAATTCTGGTGTGGAACTTGTAAGGTGCAGTGATACAGTTACCAGTACTGCACTTATAACTTATAAATTAAGCTCAGTAACCTTTCAGAATTTTCATGGAATAATTAGAAGTACACAATGAAGTGTTTCCTCAAGATAATGATAAATAAAGTTTTTGTCTCAATAATATACTTGTACAGTACTGAGGAGCCAAGACATCATTTCAACAGTAAAAGCAGACCCATAAACAGAGGTCATATATGGGCTCACCAGTATTGTACTGTATTAACATCACTCTACTTATTACCAGAATAAAAACATAAAACTCTATATACAACTGTATCTACTTCACAAAATGAAAAACATTATGAGACCATGTTTCTTTAAAAATAGTTAAGCCAACCATTTTAGCGAAAGGTTACCTCATCAAAGGTACGACTCAGTTGTATTATCTTTGATGTTCATTATCACAACAACAGCCAACTTAAACTTGCTCCAGACCCTCACTTTGTACTGTTAGAGTAAGACGAGGGTACAATATATCTCATATGAACTTATCCTAATCCATTCAAGAGTGAGAAAAGTTAAATACAACATATGATGATGACCTTCTCATACACAGTGAGTGAGTAACAACAACCTGAGACATATCTCATTAGTGTGAACTTAACACCACCGTCTTTTATAACACCAAAAATAACTTTTGTTGGTCATAACAGGAAAAAGGTAAACCTGGCCCGGGTAAAGGAAATATTAAGTATAAATATTATTACTGTTCAGTCTGTACTTGATATGATCTAGAGTTCTGGATACTTGAATCTTGAGTGACTTGTAGGACATTATCTTGGCCTGTCTGGGGAAGATGACCTACACCAGACTGTGCTACAAATAACTGTGGTACTGCTTCCGTGTTATTATTAGTCTCTAATTTCAAAAGACAACTGGTATTGTATGTGAAGTAACTGGACATAAACATTTGTTTTTATCAATGTTTACAGTATATATATATATATATATATATATATATATATATATATATATATATATATATATATATATATATATATATATATATATATATATATATATATATATATATATATATATATATATATATAAAGTAAACAATAATATCTATATTATGTCAAACTATAAATACAGTATGAATATTTTTCACAACAGCAACATACACAAATATGCATCTACCATGTTAGTGTATTTACAATATAAAATATTTAAAATATCATTAAAAAAGACTGATAATCCTATGGTACTAATGAATTATTTAATTTGTCAAAGAACACAAAATTCCATGTGTTAACATGCAAGAAACACCAAGTAACAAAGCATTCCTCACAGCCACAGTACATCAAGATCAACCAAATGATGGAAACACAAAATAACACAAAGTCAACAGCCAATACAATACCAAATAAAAATCTGAAAATTAAATAAGGTAAATATTAAGAGCCAATGTCAAATTAAAATATCAACTGAACTTAAATAAAGACTTGTGATGAACAGACAACAACAAAACATGAAATCATTACAAAATAACTTGATGCAAACTTTTGCTGAAGCAAATTCCTAAAATAATAAAAATAATAAATAATAATACCGTAACTAAGTAAAAGTTTTACGTTGGATAAATAATGGTAATTCCACCACCGAGTCGATTATCTGACATGTCGTTAATTAAACATTTAAATGCTGGACATCCCAAGAAACTGTTCAGTTTTTGTGTCCGCATTTTATGGTACAGATCAGTCATGGTCTTGTACCTTTACTCTCTCAAGACTCACCACAACCCTACTACTGTATAAGCCTTGGTGCATCCTTTTGTCACAACTGCATGGAAATGGCAAATCCCAATGTCAGATATTTTGTCCCCAATTTTGTCTTAAGAATACCCTGTACTGCATATTTCTTGCATCCTCTCAATGGCATTTAATGTGGGAAAGACACACATGATTCACATACAGATAAATAATACAGACTTATCTTCACTACTACACAAATACAACAGAGTAAGAGATGACTCCGACCCCTAAAGTTAACCCCGACTACTACATGACCACCATTATCATTTCTCACAACTTCGGGAAAAGTAACGGAAATTTTTTATACAGCGGCAAGTTGTTTGAATTATCGCGATCTGTGGCAAATTGGTGAGGATATTGTGGCTGCTAGCTGGATTATGGATGTTTTGACCATAGATACCTGTAGACATCTTAGACATGATCACAGTTCCTTATCTCAAATTAAAATTGTACATAATGGTATAGTTTTTATTCTAAAGTTTACAATGATGAATTAAATTTAAATTTAAAAATAAGTAAGACTGAAAATTGTATTGAATATATTAATATAAGGGAGTGACTAATGTTAACTCCTATTTTATAACTGAGGACTCACATACAGTCAACACATCTATGGTTTGAAAGCCTAGAAAAAAGTTGGTATTTGAGGTGTCAGCTGAGTGTATTCCCTTTGTACGACACAACACGACACAACCAATCCTTACATAGTTCCAGCTCACCCCAGACACAACACAACCAATCCTTACATAGTTCCAGCTCACCCCAGACACAACACAACCAATCCTTACATAGTTCCAGCTCACCCCAGACACAACACAACCAATCCTTACATAGTTCCAGCTCACCCCAGACACAACACAACCAATCCTTACATAGTTCCAGCTCACCCCAGTTCCAGCTCACCCCAGACACAACACAACCAATCCTTACATAGTTCCAGCTCACCCCAGACACAACACAACCAATCCTTACATAGTTCCAGCTCACCCCAGACACAACACAACCAATCCTTACATAGTTCCAGCTCACCCCAGACACAACACAACCAATCCTTACATAGTTCCAGCTCACCCCAGACACAACACAACCAATCCTTACATAGTTCCAGCTCACCCCAGACACAACACAACCAATCCTTACATAGTTCCAGTTCACCCCAGACACAACACAACCAATCCTTACATAGTTCTGGCTCACCCCAGACACAACACAACCAATCCTTACATAGTTCCAGCTCACTCCAGACACAACACAACCAATCCTTACATAGTTCCAGCTCACTCCAGACACAACACAACCAATCCTTACATAGTTCCAGCTCACCCCAGACACAACACAACCAATCCTTACATAGTTCCAGCTCACCCCATTCACAACACAACCAATCTCTACTTAGTTCTGGCTCACCTTATTGTAACTTACATCCCTTAAACAAGAACCAAGCTCTTAAACACCACACATCCAGTTAACAGATAAAACACCATTTACCGAAGCCTCCTAAACGCCCCTGTATTTAGAGGTTCCGAATCAAGTTATCCCTGAACAAGAATGTGGAGACTTTCTAGTTTGACTATTCTAATATACTCTTGGTAAACCTCCCTAATGAATTCCTATTATCTGCTAGTAGATTCCCTGACACTAGTATACATTAGGATCACCTGAACAATCTCCACCCCAGCTTATTCCACTTAAATATTAACCACCCTTACACTAACCTAAAATAATGGTAATGTAACCTCAGCCCACCCCAGCTTATTCCACCTAAATATTAACCACCCTTACACTAACCTAAAATACTGGTAATGTAACCTCAGCCCTCCCAAATAGTGAAATAAGACTACCCCCCCCCCTCCCCCCACCAGACAGTTCCTGCACTTCAACATCGCAATACTATACAATCTCCCTTGTTTAATTCATATACTGTACAACCTTCATTGTCTGATTTACTTATTAATATACACACTTCCTTTATCTATTTACTTATTTATTTACAATCTTTCTCATCTTATTTATTTATATTCATTCTCCCTTATCTTAGTTAGTTTATTATATACCGTACTCCATCATCTTAATTATTAGTTTATATACATTCTTCCTCATCTCATTGACTACTTTATGGACATTCTCCTTTGTCTTCATGTACAATATTACTATGAGCTGCAAGGTAATGGCACGTTCTTTCATTAACATTTCTCAACTACAGTATTTAGTATCCATACGTACAGTTATATAAGACAAATGTGGTTTTAACAGCCAACAATAGTCAGGTCCTTTACACAACTAAGACCATCTACCAATACCCCTTATTGGTTACCAGTATATATCATCCCTTTCTCTATAATTCAGTATATTCATTTATGTAACACAGTTTTCATTAGTGTTATCTTCTGAAAGCAAATTTACAATACTGTACTGTAAACTAATTCTATAATGGAGAGTATTTCAATGAATCTTCTCCTGCCTCAGTAACAGCTGAAAACAACACCCATGGGGAGGAGTGTTAAAACTGACTGAATGCCCTAACTTGACCTACAAACAGATCCGTACACACCTTAATAAAAACAGCCTATCCACACACCCTTAAAGAAAGCCTGAGTGTTAAGGCTGGTTCATATGGAGTTTTAACCCTCACCACACTTAACTTTTACTTCACATGATCTCTCAGTCTTAAGAGGCAACACCCATGACCTCACACAACAGTGACCAACTCGGTGCACTTCAAACACAGCAACATCCCTCCAACCTTTCTCTACCACACCATCAAATTTACACTTCAAGAATTAGGAGACAAGAATACTACTGAGTTATGATGTCCCTTGCCTAATGTTGTTCGGTAAGGGAGGACACACATACGACTGTGCCTTCCCTGTCACAAGCACATACACCTGTCAACTCAGTCATGCATCTAGACGAGTCACCACAACCTATTTCAGTAGTACAGGGGAAACTTGCATTTGCTTGTTGGTCTTTTTCTAATTTTCTATGAATACTTATTGATTTAATACTCTGCAGTCAAGCTTTTGTGTAGTTACCCAGTGAATGGCCACAACAAAGTCAAGTGAAGTCCGATATTCTTTTTCTGTAGCCTAGAGTATATTATGATGGCCATATGTCAGTTCACAACATATCTTCATTAGTTCACCGACCCACACGATCACTTTGTCTTGATAATCTACTCTGTGGTGACTTATTACCAGCATTCTGAGAGCCATCGGAACACTGATATATAACCATGTATATATAGAGACACTTTTTTTCCATTAATGATTTTGAAACTTAAGCAAATGATACAAAATCCTGAAATATGTTAATTACAGTTATAGAATTCATCTATGTTGTTAGGTACAAACATGGTATCTAAAAAGGAGTATTAGCAGAGAAATATAGAGAATACCATACCCTGAGGCTATTTGACTCAATCTGTGGACAAAGGTAAAGGCTTCATGCTACTTTATCATCATGAAAATCCTTCCTATCTGTCTATCCTCTCAACAATTACTCCAATCCCAACTACATGGGCTGGAACAAGTGCACCTAATGTGTTATAACTTAGACAATTACTCTACTGTATTTACTGCCTAAGAATGAAAAGCCAGGTAACATTTAACACCTAGTAAATAGCTACTGTACTGTGATAAAGACCAAAATACTTTACTATTAATACAAAGAACCTACTTAGAATAGAACAAAGATTCAAACTTTTATTAAACACTCAAAAGTTCCAAATACCTGAATTAGTACTACGTTAATAATTACTGCAGTAAACCTTTTAAAAGTATGAGACAAAGTTATCATATGAGAGACACTGACTAAAAAGAAAATTATATTACAAGTCAGCTATTCAAGGGTAAACTCAATGAAAAACAAACACATTTCTTATGCATTGATTACCCTTCTCTTAATGACTCTAAAAATTCAGAAGAAAAGACACGGGACGAGACGAGGAAAGGGAAGCACGACGCAAGGCAGATACAAGGGAATGGTGAGACGTAAGAAAGAGAGAGGCTAAATGAAGGAAACAGAGGAACACCTAATAATTTTACCTGGATGAATTTACAGGAGAATAGGAAGACTGGAGGAGATAGACACGAGTGAAATTGGGGATTTAGGGATTATTAGGGATTATCCAGTGAGAAAATCTGGGATGATTGAGATTTAATTTGGGATTAAAAAGGAGAGATTAAGGATTGTTAAGAGATTACAGAATAATTAGACAACGAGACTTAGGGATTAAGAGATTCAGGATTATAAAGTAAGGCATCATTAGTAAGGGATTAAGGTTTATTAAAGGTCACGAGGGACTATAAAAAAAATGGAATTATTGAGAAAGATATTAGGGATTACAAATTGTGGATTATTCATGAGAAGATATAGGATTATTCTGTACAAGTTAAGGGATTTTTAGTATATTATTTATAAGAATAGGATACTGGGATTACTTGGTGAAAGATCAGAAAATACTGTGTAGAGTACCTGTACAGTATATACAATAGAGAGAGAGATAAGTTTCAGAGGTAAAAATAATGCTGGAACACAGGAATTAAATCTCATTGTGAAAAGAATGAGAAAAAGTGGTTTGATTATAAAGTTGTTTAAACATGGTGACCACCTGCTAGTGCCCCACTGTCTGTATAACTACACTGTCTATGTATATCTGCATTGTCTAGGTGTATTGTAGACCCACACTCTCTATGTATATAGTAGTGTATACCTGTATTAACAATACAGTATACAGTACAGTACTTGCTGAATCAATGTAAACTTGTATGACGATTTTACTGAATATCTATCTATCTATCTATCTTATTACCATGAGAGATGGTTGGACCATTTTTCTCTCAAAATGAGAAAACAAACTAAACATTTCATAATTGGTTCAGGGTGAAAAGTTTACTGCCCCCATCTCGCTCTCCCTCCTGCCAAGTCCCCAGGGAATGGGTCAAACTAATCCCTCAACCTGTAATTGAACCTTGAAGTTTCATGCAAAATCTATAGGTCTGATTAAATTCGGTTATGTTAGGGGTAAGGTAGGTTAGGCTAGGTTAGATTAGGTTAAGTTTGACAAGGGTGTGGTCAAGCTCCATTCCAAGGTCAGATCAAGGGATTAAGAGCCCCACCAGTGAACAGCCATAAAGCAGCAACCTTCACCACCTCCATCAACAACACACAATAGGAAAAATTTATGCTCCATTACATCAACCAACCACCTGGGTGAATATACATTTCTTATGGAGTAAATGTCTTTTATAGAAAGAGTGACCACTAACAGGACCACTCTAATGAATTAGTTATGAGCATACAGCATGTAGAGGGACCTGTTTCACCAGTAATGGCTTTATCATCGTAATATACTGTAAAACAACACAAGAAATGGTCCTTCCAACAATGTCACACACTCAATCCAGGTGTTAGTAAGACACGAATTATCTCAATATGAATTCTTGAGTTGCTCTTAATGTAGCTGTCAGATATGTGGGAGTCTGACAGATGTATCCCACAATATAATATTAAATTAATGTTTAAAGGAGGAAGAACATAAATATAACTCTTGAAAAAATATAACAGAATTTAGTCAAGTAAGATTGGACATAATATATCAGTTCGTTTCCTATAATTTTGAATGGCCATTTTGACTCGTATTAATGAAGCTTGTGGGATATATGACATTATATTATCAACCGAGGGGAAACTCACATAAAAATTGATGAGAACAATTAATTACTGTACAGGTATTATCCTTTCAAGTTCAAATCACATCATCAACCAAACGATGCATGAAGGGGAGAGGTCTTACATGATAAAACTGATCATTACTCAGGGCTGCTCATATAGTGTAACACTGGTGGGTCAGCCGGTGTATGTTAGTCACCTAATGTACTGTACACTGATAACTAGTTGCTCATGTCAACTCCTAAATTACTGCCTATACTGTACACCAGCACTACCCTAGGCTATCCACATGTACCAAGTGTATCAGAGGAGGGCAATAATCCACCAGGGTAAGTTAGACTGAACCTTTACACCCCACCTGGCTTTGGGGCTGTTTTTCTCACTCTAAAGAGAAACATTAAAAGTTTTTAGTGGAAAAGTTTGAAAAGGATGGATACCTTTTTTTTTTTGGTTAAAAACATCAATATTACACAATATTATTTATGTCTACATTTATCAATGGGACTTCTAACATGAGCAGAAATTTGTGTAATATTCTTACCCATGGAATGGAGATTAAACACAGGTATTCTGTAAAAGACATAATTTCTCTTGAAATCTTCAAGACCTCAGAAAAGAATATTTATCTGCCTGATCCAAAGGTTGAGACACAAAGTCCAAATCAAACAGTACTGTACTGTACTGTACTGTACAGTACTGTACTGTACAGTACTCTCAAATAAACAGTATTTCAAAACACCTCTCTCCCAATCACCTGTATGATAAATCTTTCCTACACATTACTGTACATAAAAAAACAAATATACTGTAATTGTGACAATTACCTCCAATAATTAACATAAAAAATCGATCTAAGAAGTTCAGGAATTCTACGTATATACTTTAGAAAGCTGATGCTTATACCTTTACTGTAGTGTATAATGGTTAACAGTTTCACACACACAAGTCTACCTGCAGTAAATTGGCTTAATTAAGAGAAAATGTGCTTAAGATAACCTGGGTAAACTTGCTTTATGAGTTGAACCATAACAAGACAAGACAGTCATCTACACATACAACACTCAAACTACCGTGTATGGTAGTATTTTAACTAAAGACACCATTATAATTTATTTTGTATACAAACTTTACTAAGGTATTTGAAATGAGGCCTGAGTTATGTGCCAGAATTGAAACTCAAAGACAGATGGATAGGGTAAAGGAAGCCATTTGTATGTCCCTCCTTGACTCAGTTATGTTGAGTGGGGGATGTTAAGGGACCTTGAACAACTACCAAGCAATTACTTCAATAATACCCCTGAAACAAGTGACCAGGGCTTACAAAAATCAATGTCAGGTGTACAAATGCAGGGTGTCTGTCATGTACCGTAGAGAAATCAGTTATTTTTATTTTTCAGGTGAAGGAATCAAAGAAATTAATGAATATAACATAGAAATTACCAGTAAAGCTTCAGTTTAATATTAATGTATGGAGAGCCAGATGCTGCACATGAAAGATTTTACTCAACGAAACCCACATCTGTGGGTGTTGTCGATTAAACTTTGTCGCACCAGATCAGTCTGTAACCATCTGGCATTCCGTACATAAACATTAAACCGACTCTTTCATCTAGTGTTACTTTCTCCATCATCTTTGTTGATTACGATTCGCTCACCTGAAAAAAGAACATTCGTGTCCCTATGTTGCACAACCTATGAGACACCCTATACATTTACCCAACCCATCTAGTGGACATACAAAACCCCTTTGAATAAACAACTAGTCCTCAACATAGTCACCAGGGTGTCTAAACCTTATTCTAACTTTTGTATATATTCCTTTTTATAGAATTCAAAGTCCTGTTAGAGAACTTAATACCCCAGGGAATCTAATCACCTACAACGAAAAATTATACCTACGAGAACCTACATACTTTAGACTGGATGTGTTGGTGGATAGTTGAAAGGTTATGACACTGCTTCAGAAGGCCTCTAGCTGGTGTGTGGCAGTGATAAGAGCGGGACTAGATTTTAGTGTTCTGTGTAACTATAGATAAGAGACACTAAGCTATTGTTCTTTACTGTGTGTCTCTGATGGTGAACTTTCAGGTGATCCCATGAAACAGAAGAGGAAGACAGAGACAGGAAAGAAGATGAAGAAGATGTTGCCAAAACACATATGGTAAATAAAAATAATACTAATAATTTAGTTATCATAAAATATAAACAAACTTTGAACACCTTACTTTATACACTTCAACATATAAACACTTTCAACAATTTGTCAAAGGCAGCTTGTGGTTTATACATCATGAACTACAAATATTAAGGCGGATGTAGATCTCCTAAGCGACAACAAAGACCAGCTCTCCTGTCTCACTCGGATGAGCTATGTTTTGTAAAGCAACTTAAGAGGTGCGATAACAGTACAAGCAAACATGTTGGCAACACCAAACTATACTTTCTGCACCTACAGCTTTTATGTCTACCAATACTATGCTTAACACACTGTATATCAACCATTCTCACACCTAGTTACCATTGTTCTAGTAAACTGCAAAACTCTTGTAAATTCTGCTAAATGGAAAAAAAAGTATTCAAGCCCAGAACTGACTCTATGTAATGAAATATGAGAAACTGATCCTGAAATCCTGTTTTAAACCCATATCTGGGTTGTGACTCATACATAACTGATCCAGTCTATGGGTTGAAGATACAGGTCACAACCTTTGACACTGGTGGCTGGAATAATTCACTATTTACTGTACAGTAATCCTGTCCATCATATCCAGGTATTTAAAGAGAGATCTTTGGATACAAAATCCACCATCAAAAGCTGAAGGCTGAGTAGTCTTGCCATCATACTGACATGTTCACTCACAAGACCCATGAACTGCCAATCAGCACTCAATACTCCATGAATGTAAGGGGAGGGTGATTGATATATCCTGAAAGACTAACATATTAAACCAGGCTCACATTATAGGAGCTCATACAATGGACATGACATCCTTTAGTAAGTTGGTCAGTGTTTTGAGAGCTGTCATGCTCAAGAGTGAGGGCCAACTTTTCATTGACTCAAAGTTAGGAAACTACCCAGAATAATATGTAGTCAACTTAGGGGAGGACAAGTGATGCCATCAGCCGGCAGACAAATGTTAACAGACAATCCCACTTGGCTGTGACAGGGAGGGCTAATCATTCCCTCCTAAACACTGACACAGAGTCAAAGAAGTGGTAGTTTCCTGAGCTCTGGTTTTGAGGAATCCAAGAGAATGGATACGACTGTATTTGTAGTCTTAGATGGAGTTTAATACCCACTTTGGGCAGCAGTACTAAACCAGCCTACACTACAAAGAGGTCCTTATAGGCTAGACTAAGGCAGTTATGGACAGTGTGACAGGTTCTGTAAACATAACCAGTGAAGACACAAGAGTAAACACTGTACTGTTGATGAAATAGTTAAACATACAACAAACAAGAACCAGTTTCAAGATGGTAATGAAGACTGTGGAGCATTGACTCACCTTGGGTCACACATCACACCAAGTTGACTCTTAAGAGAAATATGCAGACACAGCCCAAACAGTCTAACCTTGTGTGAGCAAAATTCAGCATCAAGCTCATTACGTCCATCAAGACTCAGATATGAATTGTGTTTGAAATCCACTTACAATACATGGGAGAAGCGAGGTTGGGGCAGAAAACGATGTTTGTAACAGAGATAATGAGTCACAGGGTACACATGCTAAGGGCTCTTTTTAGATATCTATGTGTAACAAGAAAATAAACTAAATATATATAGTATTTGCTTCAGTCACCAATGTCACAAGTTGTAACCTAGAATTTCATGACACAGACCTGGTTGGTAATGGGGGAGTCACCTGAGTTGGGAGTTAGTTTGTAAAATACCTGCTGAAAATCCTTAACTAATTACCCATCTATTGTTCTGTTAATTACTACCTAATCTACTTACTGTACAGTTTTAATATGGTGCAATTATATTGGCTCACTATATTTTAGAGATAATGAATAAGCATGCATTGTTCCTGCTGGCATGCGCTACCTAAGTGTAGTGATTGAGTTATGGACATGAAACACAGTCAAGATGTACACAAGTGAGAGCATCACACACCAGGGGCAGTTTGTCTTCAATATTGGCAGCCTCAAACCCTAGTTCCGACTACAATGGCCGCATGACAGGAAAGGAAAGTGATAGCATGAGACATTGTAAATGGAGATATAGAAGCTATTTAAATATCACGAAGAAAAACCCTAAGTCAGTGAAATTATACATAAGAACCATACTTGTAAATCAGTGAAATTACATCGTTAAGTAAAGACCAGAAATATGACTTTTATACAGAAGTGACATTACTTATAATTACGTACATAGAATTTATAATACTTGGAGGAGAGGTCACCCATGTCCATAAACCATTCAGGAAAAATATCCTTTGTTCACTCAAGACTTGCCGTCAGTATTATACATCTTCAGGGCACCATTATCTTACTTATAGGTCCATATAATAACACTTTCTCTTTTAACCAAACATTCTTACACTTAAACACAATGTTACGTATTAATGGTGATAACAGCCAAGGAACCAGACATAATATTACCATGCATCTTACTTCTACAACCTCTGAACACTCAACAGCTACCCAAGACAGTAAGAATCTGTATCATTTCTACCACACAAATTTAGTTTCAACCAATAATACAAAACATTTTTATAATTTTAAACATAATTTCTGTATAAAAATCTTAAGTAACTATTTTATATTGATACTTCACACTTGTAAGTCTTTTCCTGCTATGACTCGAGCCAGAGTGAACATCATACACAGACTCTCCTTCACCCTATGTCCTGTCATCCAGTAAACCAGTTATCAGCCAAGGTCTTCTGAAGGTTGTATACACCATAGACACTTAATAACTCTTTCATACATTCTCTTTATCATATTATTAATTGTTACATCACAGGTAACATCAAGTAACAACCACACCGTCTGGAAATATTTTCATTAATACAGTACTGTACTATCAAACCATGAATATATTGGGTACGTCCTGACCGCCAAGTACAAAATTCTAGATTCCTCAAGTAAGAATTTCGTGATATTAAAGCACTGATTTTAAATATCTGAAAATATGATCTACTAATAATAACACATTATAACACATTATACAACAAGAGATATAAAATTAATTAAATAAAGCTTTAAGAGTTCACTTATATAACTCCAAGATAACTAATTAAAATACTCCTCTGAATTTGACTAATATTCCATCTATTAATTTAAACAACACTAAGTATCAGACCAAGTAACAAGAGAAGAACTATTATCAAATTTCTTACAAGATAAATACAAAGTTTTCCACCAAGTACTTACAATATTGAGTTTCTCTTTACGGTTGAGACGCAGTTCCTTCAACATCTGTGTTCTCTGTTCCATCATGAGTGTTCGCTCGTAGGTGTACGTCTGAATGTCACTGTCCATCTGTGGGGTAATTTAAGTATTCAGTTTGTAAGTCATCATTACTGCATCATATTCTGTAAATATTGAAAGTTAGTTGAAGAAACATTGTTCCAAAACACATAAACAGTACTGGCATCCCTCGAGTTACAGAAAGGTTGTGTTCCTGAAAAGTTGTCCTTAACTCAAAATTCTTTAACTCGAAATCGCGGAACTCAAAATTCTGTAAATGAAGGGATAGCTGTATGATGTTTCTCACTGTTAAGAGAGAAAACACACAGTTATTCCTGCTTTGTTTCTTAGGTCTCAAATGAAACTAAAACATAACAGTTGCCTTAAAAATTAAAATATTATCTTAAAGTTGACAAAGCCAGTATAGGTTAGGTTAGGTTATGGCAGAATCTTTCATTAACACTGACCAACTCGACCACGTCCACTTCAGCATCAATACGCAGGTGGTAGAGGAATGTCTTTAAGTCCTTCTTCATCTGGATGCTGTTGTCCTCTAGCTGAGCAACGGTGAAGATGCGCATTTTGCAGTTCTTCCAGACCTAAAATATTAACAAATAAAACTGTTAATAAGACAATGGTATGCCTATGTTTAATACCTTTACTTTCCATCAAATTCAGTTACCATCGATGCTTTTACTCATTATGTCCATGAAACAAGACTACAGGAATGATATTTGTGCTAATTTTGGTAAGCTTTTCTCGTCTCATTATCCATCTTTGACTCCTGACTGATTTCTGGGTGGGTTAAGTTGCCACACAAACATTTACCACCAACATTTAATATATACTACCTGTTATTAACTTTTAGGGGATAATTTAGTTTATTGATATTATTCAACTGTGAAATGAGTGTATGAAGTGATGCTATAAAATTCTAGTCTTCCTTTGAAAGTTCTATACTATACTGTTTACATTTTTTATTTATAGGAATTTCTAAAGTATTGACCCAACCTAGTATGTCTGTAGTGTCTTACCTTGTGCTGGCGGAGGAGGAAGGGCAGCAACATAAGAAGACCGCCATCATGGACAATCCACCAGATGTCAATAGTACCAGACACCTGCCATATACACACAACAGGTGAATAACTTAACTACCTGTACAGTAATTAGGAGATATTATGTGTCCAATAATAGGATTGAAGTCTATTAATTTTATTTTGTTTATATATATTACCCGGTACTTAATTCACAACTATAAGGAATGGAGTGAGCATATGTAGGTTTGAGCATATAAATACACTACCTTTATCTTATGTTGTGAGGAGCATTAACCATTAGATATCAAGACTTGTTCAGAAATGTATGCACAGACTGTATTCAAATAGGGACTTGTATGCAGTAATTTTATTTTGACATGAAATTGCAAAATAAATGAACCACATATCATGACGTTACTTGATGTTTATCTTAGCGAGAAAAAAAAAGAACTAACCTTAGACATAGAATCTGGGTAGAAATTGATGCCTTTAGGGACAAGAAGCGCCATCTTTGCCGCCGATACATTACGAACGGTGTCTAGGAAAACTCGCCACGACCGCTCATCTGGAGAGTGACGCCACCCGTAAGGCCATCCTAGAATGACTGTGTTGGGTTTCATGCCTCCTAAGCCACAAGTCTGGATACTGTAGACAAGTAAAAGGCACCAAGAAGAAGATGAAAAGATGCACTAACATTTCTCTCTCTCTCTTTTATTCTGTTGTCTCGGTTATTATCAATATTATTTAGAAATGGTTTAAATAATCAACCAAATCATAAAACAGGAGAACTAATACATACATGTGACTGATGCCTTCTGTTATGTTCTTGGCGATCAGCGTGTCGACAAAGCCTTTCACTTTCTCCTCGTTCATGGCACGACGTAAGCTCTGTTTGGCAGCGTGCGATTCTCCGTAGCTTTTCTGTCACGTCATAAGGAAGAGACTGTTAAAAATATCCTACTAACTAACTAGTGTATATAATGTGATCTACCTTATCAAGGCTGTGCAAGACATCAAGTGAGACACCTAATGCTCCCAGATGACCTGAAAAAATGTTCAGTATCCTCAACTCACGAAAGATTTCATTACATACAATACTACTAATGATGATTTGGGAGTTATGGTTTTATGGTATTTTGACTCTATACTTAAGGAACAACATGTATGGTAGGGTAAGTCTATCTGTTGGGGAGATGTAATAGTCAGGTGGTGAGAGACCTACCTGGTGAAAAACACAAGTTCACTATAACAGATACAGTGCTGTACTGTACTGTACATTCATGAAACGTGTATTTTATCTATTCTTTAGTCCATAAATGATGTAATGTACAGAACTATTTACCTCAGTACACAAGTTAGATCTCTACACACTCCTAATACCATATAATCAGCATACATTTCCCTGAACACAAAATCCAGAATAGCCAAAGTGTTTAGTGTTAAAACACACAGGTATGAAGACAAATAAATTAGAAGGCATATCACTTACCGAGTATTCTCCATCAATAACAGACACACCTATAGTCAGACCCTTGCCAGCTTTCAGCTGGGAGGCAAAAGTGAAAAGTTTCTTGTATTTGGGCACCAAATCCTTCGTCAGCTTTGCTAGAATAAGGATCTGTGGCCGCCAATTTTTAGTATGAGGAGGACCTGAGAGACAAAACAAGAATCATCAACACAAATACAATAAAACCACAAATTTTCCAACACTGATTCATCAAACTCTGGATGAACAAGATACTTTTATACTTCCAGGTAAAACATTGTCTGAGCAACCTTTAACTATCTTCTATACAGTACCAGTATGTTGTATTAACAATAAATGAAGGAAATCATCTCACTTAATTTTATAATACAATTTTATGTGAGTAATGAATACAGCCAAGTGTAAGCTTCTGAACACATCAGCACAGTATTAAACAACAATGAATAGAAAACTCTGCAAGTCATTTTAGTGCAGTTTATATCAGCAAATGTCACCACACTTAATAAAAAAAAGACTGATTTAAGTCACTACAACTGAGTATATCAGCTCACCTGTGACCAAATGACACAAAAAATCAGTCAAACAACTTAATGTAAATCTGTCACACTGTACCTTCTTCCAGTCTCAGGAGGGAGTAGCGAGCAGCGGACAGGGCCAGACCTCTAATGCCATCTCCCCATTCCTTTTCTGCTCCACGGAATTCGATGTACTTATAGATAATACCAGCAATTAACATAGCCAGCAGGGCATAGTACCAAGAGGTCATGAACATCACAGTAATGCACAGCGACAGACCCACAAATGACAAAGACCTGAAAAAAAAAGACATTATATTAAAGTTGGAAAAATTTACCTGATTGCATAAACTTCGTAAAATATTAAAACTTTGGACATTTGGTAATATTTCAAGATGGAGTTTTTATCATAATTCATCAATTCTTTGGCAAATATGTCAAATGAGATAAAACTCCTCACTCATGTTTCTTCTCCAACCCTTCTCTTCTATTTCATGATTTTATGAACAATTCAACATTTTATTGTGGATAATATTCATCCTCTAAAACCTTAATAAGTTCTCAAAAACATTCTAGATTCCTCCAACAACACCTCAGCACTTTTCTAATACAGTCCTAATAATTTTCCCCCCAATACATCAAATTTTCTTTGATACAATCCTTTAATACAAATTAAATTCCACAATAATCTACAAATACAGTACAAATTCAACTATTTTCTAACACCATCAATTCACAAGCACAATACCAACACCCCCAGACTGTCTCCACGTCCAATCCTCTAAGAATATGATCATTTAAATTGACCTCCGACTTTACTTGCAGATTCTCACACTGTTTACTTTACCTATATTTAATTCCCTCCCACCAGTACATTTCCCAACAGTCTGGCTACACATCTTGGGTAGGCTAGGTGGTACATGCTCTCAGAGTTCATGGTATATTTAACATTTGTCATTACTCTGTCTGTACATTACTGTCTATTTTAACAATATTGTACAGAGATTAAAACAGATGGACAAAGCAACATTTATTGACAAGAAATCTTTCATGCTACACAATTTTTCTTGGTCTTCCTTAAGGTTCTCTACAATAGAACCCTCGAGTAGTGCGGAGACTTACCAGTGATAATACTTAAATCTTGGCCGCCAGTTGGGAGTACGCAACAAAGTTTGTAACGCGCAGGCGAGGTTGACAAAGCCGTAGCACATGAGGAAGAACATTGACAGAATAGGAGCAATGTAATCCAGGTTACCAATCAAAATACCAAACTGACAAATACCTAGAAAGAAAAAAAAATTTATTAAAAGTTCAATTGTACTGTATTAAACACAACTGTTCTTATCACTGCATAAGTTGTGAGGCGACAACTTCCAGGGGAGAGGTGTTAGTTTAGCCTCAGCATTCACTTGGTCCTTTCTTCCTGCACAACATGAATAGTTTGTGCTTACTGACAACTTTTAAGCAAAACAATATTTACAAGGGACACCAACTTATCATATAAAGGTGCCTTCATTTATTTAAAATTCTTAACATCTAATAAATAATCTAACTTCTAAAGACACAAATGGATGGTTAACTTTCAGAATAAGTGAATGCTCAACCAACCAACTGCAGTATATCAAGGATTTTACTATGATTATTACAGGTGTATTAAGAGACTGCTCATGATTCTAAAACTTAACTACAATCCAATACACATCTCAGGAGCCATAAACACAGGCATGTAAAGAAATAATGCCTCAGGAACTTGCTAGCTACTGTATGTGACATGTAGTGCCTCTATGTTCCTTCCATTGCTATCTCAACCCTTTTGCACCTCCATCACCATCCCTCCAGATAACATGATGAAGTTCCATCCAGTTAAGCTGTGTGTTTCCTATTATGAAGCTTCTCCCAGTATACATATATCTATAAGTCTCTCTTAGTATTTCCAATCATTCACAGCTCTCCATATCCTTCACAAAATATAACCCATTACTGTCACTTGATCTTCCAATTAAATTATAGTATCAAGTATCATAATCTATAGTATTAAATATGGCCCTATATAGTATAATCTCTAGTAATAATATGACCTTATATAATCCACAGAATTAAACAGTTGAACGTCAAGCGAACACAAACGTACATCCCGTCATCAGCAATGCTCTGAGAGGCTCCCCGCGTGCTGAAGACTTAGCGAAGGGCACTAAGAAGGGAATAATGCCGTCTTTACTTATGGCTTGCATCAATCTCGGTGCTCCTGTGAGGGACTGTAGGCCAGCACCTATGGTCGAGAGGAGTGACCCCACGAGAATCACCCACTCATTTGGCCAGGATATTGCCGCGATGGCCAGTTTACCGCCCACACTGTAACCAAACCTGTGGAAGAGAGAGGTGGGAATAGTGGCCATATTGAGAGCAGACATAATGGAATATTACCACATATACTTTACCAGTAACTTTGAATAATACAGTAAACAATAGATATATACAGTATTTCAGGGTTACAGTTATCTTGTACTTTCCTTACAGGTTCATAGCACATTATTAAGGATATAAAGAAACGTTCTGTATTAAAAGTAAAAGATTGTTGAGTAAATGAATTCTATGTACAGTATTAAGATGCGTATTTGATTCTTGTCATTACGAAATACAAGACAAACTCACTTGTCTCTCATCAGGAGAAGGTCATAAGACCCAGCAAACAAGAGAAGATAACTTAAGTAAACAAAGGATGTTGTGACAATGGCAGCAAGTGTTCCTATGGGAATACTCTTTTGTGCATCTGCAAGATCTCCAGACCTGTTGCTGCCGGCCATAATTCCTGTAAAAAGTGTTTGTCTTAATTTATCTTTTACATAATGAAGATACGGTATAATGTTTTGAATTTATAGTTAAACAATCTAACTTTTACCCAGTCCAAGGGCCAATAAGGGGACGTGGGGCCTAGATTTCAACACTATTCCACATGAGGAGTGGGTAGAAAGCCTTGATTAAGTATACAGTATTTCCCTCCAACAAACACACACTGATTAATAAATACAACTCATCCATAACAATCAAAGTACAGTGTGTGGTAAACAGTCTTGTCCTCAAATAAATGCTTTAAATTAATAAAGAAGAAAATTAGCTGCCAAGAGATCAAGCCATGAGAAAGAAGTCTAAACAGCTGGGAAGGAAAAGGTGAACTGAAGGACAATTGAGCCCAAGTCTTGTTTTATAGCCTGTCAGGGGTGTGGGGTGCAGGCAAAATGTCAGTGTGGCATAAACTTGGCCTTGGACAGGTAGCTCATTAGTGCTTCAAATAATTCATTGGTGCTGGGGTGTAGTTGAAGCAGGAGATCTCAAAGAATCTCTTGTTTTCTAATTCTACCAGTTTAACTTAGTCACACAAGTGGAAGGCTGATGGTACTATGGGGTTAAACCTGACACACTACACGGTCACCACAACACCGGGCGGGAGTCAGCAAGTGTAGTGAAAAAGACTGACCTGTACAGGATGGGAAAAAGATGCCAACCAGGACGGTGAAGGAGGTGGTGATGTCAATGACGATCTGATTGTAAGTTGGGTTGTTTAGAGACTCATAGTCATCAGGATTGTCTGTGTCTGAAACAATCTGCCCCTGCTCCATGAAGTGAGAACCCAAATTGGCTGTAAAGAAAGATGGTGTCAGCCACAAATCGATTTTTTTCTTTCTTTACACAATTAGACTTAAATATCTTTCCTTTGAAATTACAGTATTACAAAAATTTTCAAATAAGTAAATTATAAAAAAAAAAATCAGTAATAAATACGGCATCTTGGTCATCAAAACTACCGGTAAACATACAACATGACCAGTAGTAACTTGACAACTCTGTCATGCGGCCTCAGATTTAGCTTAACAGTCCAAAAGTAATTGTGTATTACTGTATAGTATTATAAGTTTAGTACTGTACTGTATGGTTAAAACTTGTTGCAAATTCAATCTACAAACAGCAATAATTTAGAAACATAAAAAGAAACAGATTTTGTTCTTTTTCAATATATAATTTTATCAAGATATGAGATGAAACACAAAATTGTGATGAAAGATAAAAATGGACAAGAACTTACAAGTAAACGCGCCAGATGCCAACCCAACAATAGCTCTTCGTTCAGACACGTTATGTGCTTGGAAGTAGGGATCACACTCGGTGATGTTTTGGGCAAAGGTGTTGTTTTCTTTTGCACAATATATCTGCCAGAGATCTCCACCATATTCTTTGGTACAGTTATCAACTTGGGTAAGTAATCTTGCTCCTAACACACACATCCTAAGATAAAACAAGTATTGTAAATAAGAAAATAAAAATAATACAATAAAAGTAGATTTCTGATGGGCTAACTCAAGTAATGTTGGACAGTGAGAGTACATACTGGCACTGTATATAGTAATCCCAAAACCAAGATTTTACAGGGATTTCAGAATCAATCTTCCATTTGTGGACAGCTGCCCTGCCCTCTGGTCAGTGACACTTGGAACTACAACTCCTGTTACCAACAGTTCTTCAGTGTTATCCTTGAACACTGAAAGGAACTTGATAACCCAATGTCTAAAGCCTCATAAGAGATGCCATGATGGAAAATCTACTACAAAACAACCTTGTAAAGGACTGTCAACACAGTTTTCTGCCAGGACGCTCTTGCTTGTTACAATTACTCAAGGTACTGGATGTTTGGACAGGCACAGCATTCAGAGAAGTGCCCTAGACGTGGATCAGAGACTTACTTCATGATTGCAAGCAGTGTGTGGTGATTAATGGCACGAAATCGTCATGTGTACCTATGACAAGCAGGGGGACCACAGGGCAGTGTACTAGGACCAACGTTGTTTCATAAATAGACATGCCAGAAGTTATAAGCTCCTCCATACAAATGTTTGCAGATGACAATATATTCAGGGAAATTAAGAGCCAAACAGACTGTGAAGAGCTACAGAAAGATCACTGCCAGCTTCAAGAATGGTCAAAGAAATGGGTGCTAAGATTAAATGTCACAAAGTGTAAGATGATGCACCTAGGTCGTACCAACAGTAAGGAGGAATATAGCATGTCCCAACGGGACGAAGAAACTGCATTAATAGAAACCAAATGTGAAAATGTCCTGGGTGTGTATGTTGACAATGAGCTGAAGTTCTCAGCCCACTGTGGGAAGAAGATGAATCAAGCAACTAAACTAATGTCTTCTCAGAAGGTCGTTCAGATATCTAGATGGTCTGTCTCTTGTAATGATCTTCAAGAGTGAAGTGCTTTCCTGTCTGGTCCCTGAGGTATGCTAGGGTCTGTCAGTTGATTGAAAATGTCCAAAGGAGGGCCACCAGAGTGGTGTCTGAGCTACGGCACCTCAACCACCCAGAGAGATTAGAATGCCTGCAACTGCCTAGCTTATAATACAGATGGGCGAGGGGGGACCTAATTGAAGTGCATAAACATCTCAGAGGTCAGTACTCAGTCGAGTATACATACCTGGAGCTGGCGGACGCCCGCCCCACAAGGGGGTCACAACTCAAGGTTGAAGAAGCCATAAGTCCAGAAAACTGTGAGGGCAAACTTTTTTAGAGTGAGAGTTGTGAACTCTTGGAACAACTTGCCAAAGTGTTGTGATGGCATTGAGTGTGAGTTCATTCAAGACAAGACTTGACCAGCACTGGAGCAGGTACATTCAGGACCCAGTTCATGCCCGGTACTTGCCAATAGTGCATAACAGAGATGTGACCGACCGCCCAAGCGGCTAACGAGCCGATAAGTGGCAAAGAGGATAAAAGTAAAAGTAAGTAAAATTACTGCATAAGTGACATTTTCCCTTTATGAGCTGACAAGTGAAACTGGCTCAGAGAATGTTATGACCCATTACCATGCTGCATGGTTGAGAAGGGCTAAAAACACTTAAGAATAACAAAGAAAAATTCAATTAGGAAACTTATTCCTACCTAACAGCAGACACCAAACTTGTGTAGAAGTAAACATTAAAAAAAAAAAAAAAAATGGTAGACAGAGGAACACCACAAACAAAAATTAAACTTCCAGATTGAATGGGAGAAGGAAGACTACCGTGTTAGGTCATGAAGGAGCTACACACAGTTTAAGCTTCATGACCACTACAGTGTCATGATCGTGATGACGGCTAACCTAAAAACCTTAAGGATTTATATTACGCTCAAACGTCCACAAAACCTTCTGAGTCCCCCAGTGGAAAAGTCCCCCATTTTCTCTGTTTCCTTGATGACGTCATCGATAGGCCGTCTTTGTCTGAAGGGAACTTTGAATATAATCTGCGGATTTCGTAGCAAGACGCTGTATGTTGGGACCTGTAGCCATCCAACCCTTTGTAATCAATTTAATTTTTGCTTTTGATAGCTCAGTCAGAGCATGGTTAGTGAAGTTAATAGTAGGGAATGAAACTGAGTTCATAGTCTCAGTTTCAAAGTCAGAGTGTACAGTAAATTAATTCATCGAAATAGAAGTAGGTGGACTCCCTGACCTATTTTGAGTGAGGGTGCCGCGGTCATTTCAACCGTTAGTAAGTGCTCGCCCCTTCACCCATACAGGTCCCTAATGCAGCCTAGGCCGTGTCAGTAGAGTGGATGTTGTATCCACTATGTCTGGGGAGATGTCCGAGGTCCAGTAGGATCAGTTACCTTCGTGAAACCCGACCGTCAGACATCTCAGACTACCTATGGCCCCCATGGCGGGCTCGTCTGACCCTAACGCTCGGCCCGCGAGGTGACCCCGGATCACCAAGCCACACACCACTACCAGCCCCCATCATTGGTGGATGAGTGTCTAACTCAGTAGGGCTATTTGTGTGGTGGGGTTATTCCACTGGGATCTTCAGAGTTCGTTGGAAAGTACCCCATGGTGGCAGGACCCCATGGCGGTTGCTTGAGTATCACTTTTGACGACTGAGTGTTGTAGTGGCAGTTGCCCCTGGTCTTAATGGTGCTAAGTGACTATAAGAGTTTATGTGTTATTGAGTATGTCCACCCAGTAGTGGTGTGAGTATGTTGAGCCTGAGGGCATAGTACCAGATTTCGTCTGTTGGTACATATATTCTTTCTCCTACCTCCATTTAAATGTTTAAATAAATATTGTATTTGTATATTGTGTCTATTATTTCCCTACAGTATCTACTGTTATTTCTTCCCTATTACTTGATACTATCATTACATATACCCACGAGCCTCCTCTCGTCACAATACCAATGGTTATAAGTATTAGAGAAAAGAATTGTTATAACAGGCCCTTAAAATGGTGGCAGCGCCGGCCCTTATAACAGGATACAACTATACCTCCTTGTGTACCTGAGAGCTCACTATGGATATGTGACACACAACAGTCTTATCTCACCCACTTCACTACATTACCCAATACTTCCTAACACATTACACCAGAACAAACATGTAAAGTATGATCAAGTCACAAAGTTAATGTGCCAATTACAGTGTGTATTTAATGAACACGCATCTATTACTGTACAAAGGTATAATCTTGTATCGTTTCCCAGGTAGTGTAAATGCATCAACAGCTGGAACTACAGCTTGCATCATAGTTACATTTGTAAGACTGATCCTAAAATCCTCAATTCCAGCAGAAGTCCTGGCCAGAAGGTTCCCATAATGCATCGTTGGTTTGTTGACTCCTTTGGGCATAGCAATATTTTTTTTTACTTCTACACGTATTTATACTTTGCTTCCATACACACATACAGTAGTCACATACAGTCATGTTATTTTTAAAGCAAACATTTTTATGCCATTTCCCACAACCCAAAGTAAAAAGTATTACACAATCGCAAATGACACTTCAGTACCCTTTCCTGGTTGTGGGAGTGAACCTAACTCTTGACTTGGGGAGTCCAATGCCACCAAATATGTAATAGCATCCCTTATTGTCGTCCTTCTTATGTGAAAACTGAAGGAAGGTACCAGAGGCTTAAGTCCCATGAGGGGCAATGAAGATACTGGACAGGAGACTTGCTGATATTGTAAACTATAAACTTATCTAACCAATTGACAGAAAAAAATAATAGTTACCCGGTAAGTCTTAATACTTACTGTAATTTATCTGTCCCATTGATATTGGTAAATATACCAACAAGAATAGCAATGATGGAGCCAATGACACAGGCCAGAGCGATGGCTGCGAACTTGCTGACAAAGGCCACTCCAATGCTGACAATAGTACACATCATCCACAAGAGGACAGTACCATATACTCGGAAGTTGTTGTACATGATGCTCGGGTCCTTGGTGAAGTCCCCGAATATAGATAACACCGGAGCCATATACGTCTGAAATAATGGGAGGAAAACAATGGTCCAGTATATGGTACAATTATGTTGATATGGGTACTGGGTAGTGAAGATGGGTGATGCTCAAGACAAGACTTGAGAGTGCTGCCTCCTCGCTCTTCCTTCTCCTCCTCCTCCTCTTCCCTGTCTCTCCGATGTATTACAGCTGCTCCCCGACTTACGACGAGGTTAGGGACCAACATCCAGGTCGTAAGTCGAAATGGTCGTAAGTCGGAAATGCTTAAATAACACATAGAAAATCGAAAATGGGTGTCTCTTTTTCTTCTCAGCACCACAAAACACTCACTTTTAAGCTTGTCAGCCATTTTGAAATGAATTACAGATGAAAATTTTGTCTGTGTACTGACTTTGGGACTCGAAAATACATAATTTGACCAAATTTTGGTACGACTGAGGCAGGTCGTAAGTGTGGGTGGACGTAAGTCGAGTAGGTCGTAAGTCGGGGAGGAGCTGTACTCCCACTTTTTTCATCTCTCTGTTGTCTTTTTTCTTTCTCCCTCTATTCTTGTATCATTATATAACCTGTTGTATATACAATTCTCCCCCCCCCCAAAAAACAAAAAAAAATATGATTAATTTATTATTAAATTTAAAGGAGATAAAAAATAAGCTGATTATGCCTAAACTTCAGTACAGTATATATCTATTTATGGTTGTAAATCCTACACACAAGGACCCTCCCTGCTGTACGTTTGCTAACTTCAGCCTGTCCAGCCTACTGGGTGATCCTTCACTGCTCACAACTTGTGGGTTAAGATGAACTGAGTCTAATGAACTACTGTACCTTTATTATAAATTTAAACAAATACTAAAAAATTGAAGTTCAATAACTACATTCACATATTTCACATTTCTGTTAAGACAAAAACTAATCAAACAATCTTAATAAAAAATTTAATTCAGAACTTTTAATAAATCTCTTTACCATCAGGCACAGTGGAGAGGCTGGTAAGATTATTGAGCCTGGTCTGTTTCTGTGTGGATCAGAGGTAATTTTCTATTAGCTTCAGTTTAGAGAAGCTCATCTCAGGACAGTTGTCCCCCTCACTATGACAATGGATATGGGTAATAAGAAGCTTTGGTGATAATTAACTACGAGTAACCTTTAAATGTATGAGGACCATATGATAAGTAAGGATAATGTCTGACACACTGGCAAATGTGTATGAGAGACGGAGAGAGAGAATGGTTAATTATCATAAATATAAGTTAAATACTACATAATGTGCATTACTTTAATTCATGTAAAGAAAACTATGATATGCTGTCATAATTTTCTCAAATTATCTTTTATATAGTGACATTTTTAACAAAATTTTAAAATTTCATTTTTGGATCACTTAAAAACCATTATTTCATACAAAGAAAGAAAAGTCTTTAAAGTGACAAATGGTCACTTATGATTTATGGTAATTACGAGACTTACCAACAATATTTCAACAGCACCGATGATGTACATGGCAGCTGCCACAGTAGTCGCTGTATAAAAGAGGATGCCAACAGCTCCACCAAACTCTGGCCCCAGGGACCGAGATATCATGAAGTAGGACCCACCTGCTGGTACTACACCGTTGGTGGCGATGGCGGACATAGATATCCCAGTTAAGAAGGTCTATTAGGGAATAAAAACATATTATTAACAAACTCTCAAGTATATTTATTATTATAACTGCACACTCACATACTTGCATTAGTTTACACTTATTAATCATGAAAAATATTATAAGATTAACCATGAATGGTGACTCCCAGTAGCCTCTCGTACTTCATAACACTAACAAAACAAACCACTAACTATACGGTGGACGGAAATAAAGTCCACAGGAAAAAAGTCACATGACTTGTACACATAGACAACACACTATATATATATATGGTGGCACTGCACGTAGGTTAGGTTAGGTTAGGTTTTTTCCGTGCCTTTTTATCTGTGACTTTTTTCCTGGATTCAACTATACAGGTACAGTCCTCAAAACATAAGGCAATATTTACTAACCGTACAGCAACACATCAAGACAATAGTAAAAGCAAATGCCCCGCCAGCTGTCCCCACAATCCAGGGCATACGGATGAAGAGAATGACGCCGAAGATGTTTTGGATGCAGGGCAGGAAGACGCCCATTAGTGTACCCAGCTTGGCCACGGGTTTGGTGGGCTTGGAGTCGTTCTCTTCAGCGGAGGGGATGGTGGCGTTGTAGTTGGCCAGAGAGTTGATCATCATTGACACTCTGGGCCGATCCGCCATCTCCTCCTGTTGGGTGAAAAGGATTATTACAAAGTTTTATATATATAAATATATATTGCTTTAAATTACTGTTCATCTTTAACAAATATTGGGATCACCTGAAGATTAGGCAACCCAGCACATTTCACCTGATAATTAAATACTCATATGATAACCTACCCTAACCTCCAGGTAAAATTAGGATGTTTAATCACCAAGTAAAATAAGCTGGGGCTCCTAATCTTCATGTGCTCCCTTTACACTTCAGTACGTCTTTACAAACAAAATATCCAAACACAAATATAGTGATTTAAAATAAGCCGTTGGATCATAAAATAATCTTTAAACTATATTCCTCCGATATGTTATTCCCGAAAAAACTACAACGCAATATCCTGTACTATACTGTACCTCCAAACACCACCAATCCCCTGGTTAAACTATTCAAATAGTGCTTATTATTATACTTGTTTGAAGCCATATGTGGATCAATGTTCCCGACATGATAAGAAAAAATCTGTCCTCCACGCATTCAAGGGTTATCGAGTCCACGTGAAGAATGAGATATTAATGCGACAGACAACCGAGACAACCCGCGTGCGTGAATCTACTAAAAATTCGAGTATCTGGAAGTAAACTATATCTGAATCCAGATCTTTTGATACTGCAGCATTATTGAATATCGTATTTCACTGATAATGTGTATAATATGAATAATCAGTATATTTATACGGATGTAATTTCCCACATCTCATGTTATGCTTGGAGAGAGCAAGATGGTTAAATTTACAAGTCAGAAACAGTATTACTGGTAAAGCTTTATATTGAATTATCGATGTATTTTTAGTACAAGTTTATATACAACAGATACAGGCGTAGATACAACAAGAGGTTACAAATTTATTCACATTCCATTAATACTCTTCACACTGAACTGAAATACAATTATGGCTAAGAACAAGATTATATCCTTCCTAAACTTTCTGAAACAAGCGTCAAGTAGCGGGGGTGTTTGGCAGCAAGAGTTCACCTGGTAAATTTGTCAGGTGAAATTAGCCCCATGAAGGTGAATTTCCCTCGAGGCGGAAAGACAGTTACGAGCGTAGTTTCAGATGACCTGCCTCAGAAAATATCAACATATAATATTTTAAAATTGTATTATATTGTTTAATTCCAATATAAAGTTACGTCATATATAGTTGTACTGTAGCTTTGGGAGGGTATTATATTTTGTGCGTTTTATTAATGGTTTCTACGTCAAGACTATGTACCAGAATTCAATATTTTAGCTGTTGATTTATTTTAAATTACCCCCAAAATATGAGAATATAAGAGTGAAGTTGACCTTTACGTTACGTCACCACCTCATAGAGTTTTGACAAATTCAAATTCTGTACATGGCGGCGCATTCCCTCACTTAGAGCAAGAATGTCATTTCATTCTTGAAAACATTAATGTGTTTACAATACCGTAATGCAATAATATTAATTCTTCCCACAGAGGCAACTATTTTCTCATATACGAGGACAATCCACCATTCTGTTCCTGAAAATCCAAGAGTTTTATCCTTGGTTTGACGATGGTGGAATGTGTCTTGTTGGGCTCAAGTGCCTAATTATTTTGTACAGTACAGTTAAAAATCAGGGGCGGATCCAGGGGGTTCCTGGGGGGTCCGGACCCCCCTTTTCGTCATAAAATTCCAATACCTTTTATTTAACGCAGTATTGTACTCAAGCGTTTTTGTTTAGTAAAAAGTAATTACTACTGACCTCAGAATGGACTCAAAATGGCCATGATATTGGTCAGATTAGAGAAAAATGGGGCAGCGCCCCCCCAAAACCCTCAGCAGGGCTCGCCATGACCCCCCCACCCAACTTCTTGGATCCCCATTTTGATATCCCTGGATCCGCCCCTGTAGTGGCATCAACCTTCTAACCAGTGGCCATCTTGACTCTGGTTCATAGTCTACCACAAAAACTACGCTACGCTTTTACTAATCACGTGTATATTGCACCTGCATCAGCGTTAACGTATGAATTCTGGGAGAGGGGGGGGGGTGTATGGCCCGAGGATGTGTATTTTGTACCCCTGCACTTCTTGGCTTGCTGCCTGAGTCATTCCATCCCGGGATCGGTAATGGAGGCTCCGTGATACACACCGCAGTTTGTCCGCGGATATTTCTTGTTCCTTTTTACACGGGTGATATTTACCAGCGATCCCTGTCTTCCAACTCTCTTTCATATCTTTCACAAAGAGAGCTTCGTGCTTCACTCTACTCGGGGCTTCCATTACTCTCGGGAAGGAGAGGAGGGTATGGGGTGGGTTTGCTTATTCCTATTTACGCCTTACTTACTCTCCATAGTTGACTAATAAAACTAAGAGCTTCACCTAAAACGAAGAGCTTCACTTAAAATCAAGAACTTCACCAAAAACTAATTGTTTCACCTAAAATTAAGAGCTTCACCTAAAACTAAGAGCTTCACCTAAAACTAATAGCTTCACCTAAAACTAATAGCTTCACCTAAAACTAATAGCTTCACCTAAAACTAGACTTTACGTAAAATCAAGAGCTTCAGCTGAAACTAAGAGCTTCAACTACTAAAATTGAGGGCTGACTATTTTTTCCTGTGAATTTTCTCCGCCTTTTTCCAGTGAGTTTTTTTCCCAGTAATAATTATTTCCTGGGACTTTTCCGAAACATTCTCTTATATAACTGACCACAGGGAAATTATTACAAACTGAACGGGATACAAAACAAAAGCTATTTCTCTTATTGGCTCTTGTTTATTTATACGTATCCTTCTCTAATAACAAGGACAAAACTGACAAAAACAAGTGAACCGGATTTGTTTTTACACTGATGTTATGGCTGCCATCTGCTGGTTGGAGTTGTGAAATTCATTCGCCATTTCTTTTGGTTTATTCCCAGCAAAGTGTTCCTCAGCTCTTGGGACAAAACAAGAGAGTTATCAATAGTCTTTTGTGTGAGTGTGTTTTAAATGTTCGTTCACACCGAGGGAGGGAGCGGGCGGGCGGCGATCCTACTCCAATGTTTACCTTCCGAAAAATACGATAATTGGGTCATATTTTCCTTCACAATGGACAGCAGAGGACACACATAAAATTGAGTGTAATACTTTTATTATCATATACCATCTCCAAAACTAAGTTACGATATATCACATAGCAGTAAAGAGAGAGAGAGATAGAGAGAATTTTACTACCCTGACCCTCCCTTAATAAACGCCTATGTTGCTATATTTCAGTTTTAACATCCTTGCTCTTCCTTTTTCCTCGCCGCCACGGCTTCACCTACGACCTTCTCAGAGTGAATTTCGCCGTATTCAAAAGATGCAGGTAATTTTGTTTACCGAGTGAGGCAAGAGGGAGGCAGCCTCACTTAAGGAGCTGGGAAAAGGCTCGCCGCGTACCGACATGAGAGAAACACACACACACACACCACGATTCTTGTGTGCGTGTTTGTTTGTCTGTCAAGCAGGAGAGTTTGGCATGTTGAAAGGGAAAATGTAATCGTTAAGAGAAAATATAATTCTTTTAGGCTCGTACAGTAAGTCAACAATACCCCCGTAGATGAAGATGAAACAAAACAAACCGACTCGATGAAACCACGACACGAAAACGACGACCAAAAGTGAATCCCAAACTGCAATGAGACTGCTGGAAGTTCTCGGGTGTTTATGACAAATTACAAGAGGAAGGAAAATAACGCGCAAGACTTCTGAAAACCCGGAAACTTGGATCTGAAATTTGGAAGAGATAATAATTCAAATGGTGAGTCCAACCTTGTGGTAGTGAGGGGCGGGTGAGGGGGAAGGAGGAGACGTGGAGGATGGGGTGATGGAGAAGGGAGATGAAAGTGGAGAAGGAATATGAGAGGAGTGGGGTGACGGGGGGGGGGTGATGGCGGTGAGGGGAGACAAGGTGAAAGAGAAGCCAGGAGCAACAATTCTCACAAGACAAGTGTTCACATGATACAGTCTGAGGCGGCTACAAGAGTTGCTGCCTTCACTGTTCTTTTATTTTCTTATCCTAAATGATTATAAGAGAAGCCACCTTTACCCGCCTTGGGTGAAATCTGACACCATTTATGTTTTGTCGTGGTATTGGGAGTTTTAAAGTTGATACGAGGCTTCTCTCTCTCTGTTTTGTTTGTGTGTGTGTGTGTGTGTGTGTGTGTGTGTGTGTGTGTGTCCGTGTGTGTGTGTTAGTTGAAGAAGACGTTTTCAGTGTCGCGGCGGTCGAGTGGATACAGTGGTTCGATTTCCGGGCACTCCCAGTTCACCAGCTGTTGTGGGTAACATAAGTTTACAACCTGGGGAAGTGAAACTGTCGAGAGCAGTGCCGGCGGTGCTACCTCCTTGTGTACTGAAGGCTTAGTATACTGTGTGCTGTATCCACACTGTACTGCCCTATGGGACCCACTTTCTTTCAGTGTATCTTACTTAAATTAGTGTCATGTTAACAATGAACCCCACACCTTAAACCTTTACTGTATACAAAATAATAATAATTCAGGTGTGTTGTGTAAATATAGACATCAAACACACCTGGACTTTGTGTGACGTGTTTGTGGGTCAATTCAGAAGATCAAAGTTGACATAACAATGAATTATAGGTAGAGGGAAAACTCTTCTTTATTGAGAGAGAGAGAGAGAGAGAGAGAGAGAGAGAGAGAGAGAGAGAGAGAGAGAGAGAGACATGATCCCTTGAGGTACATATCTCCGAGTCGGGTCCTGTCAGAGATAGGTACAGTACACCGCTGATCTCAGATAAGTACACTGGTAAGTTAACCTAACCTTGGGTGTACAATACTGATAGTCTACAGTATGTGTGTCTTATTATTTCTCTCCTACTCCACTTTCTTCTTCTTTCTTCTTTTTTTCCCTTCGAGTTGGTTCTCAAAAGTTCCCTCTCACTGAAGACAAGGTAACACATCTACTGTAACTGACTCACTTCAGCTTAAACACAAGGATGGATTCTTCTTGCCTCGTACGTTAATATTTTTTCCTCCTAACTTGTAGATGTTGAAATGTACACACACACACACACACACACACACACACACACACACACACACACACACACACACACACACACACAAGGATTCTCAATAGATCTTATGTTAATTTTTCACCTTAACTGATAATGTACGAATTTATCTGGCTGACTCAAAAATAAAATCGAATAAATTACACTTTTAACCCATAACTAAAACCTTTCCATTAACTATACTTGAGAGACATTAACTTACCGAGTAGAGATAAAGGTTCTTCTCGTAGCCACTCATCTCTTTCATATCCACCATAAACGGCTTGTCGTCGGCACCATCTGGGAAAAGTAAACATATATTAGTACATCTTCAAGAGGCAGCGGCGCGTGTGTGGATGAAAATATTAACTAAATAACAAATACATATCTTTATCATTAATTCAGATATTTAAACTATTATTTACCGAAGAAAAATACACTAGGGATAACGGGCCACTGTGGATAACATGTAGACACAGTTTTGAAGTGTAACCGACCATAACAACTTGCGCGCGGGAGTAAGATGGAGAAAATGACAACCCCAAACTTGTATAGATATATAAACCAATAAAAAATGAAATACATGTAATAAAACTTCAATATAAAAATTATATACAATGGAATCGGCTTATATGAACATAATACAGTAACACCCCACCCCCCTCCTTGCTGTAGCGTCGACGTGATAAAGATACCTTACTAACTACAGTAACTAGCCCACTTACAACTTAAGGCACAAAGATAGATTCTCAAATTGGTCTGGAAAATTGCATTGAAACTCTTCCATAACAAGATAATGTTTGGTTACCCGGGTGACGAGAGGCGGGGAAATGACGTAAGGTGCGTTGGAAATCCCCCGACCTAGATAATTATAAAAGCCTGGATCCCACAAGTTCGTTAGACTAAAATATCTCGCAGCTATAAAAAAAAACTAATAGATATTTCGTTCAGATAAAAACACAAAATTAACCTAAATGAAATAGTAAAATTATACCTTTAGAGAAATTTTCACCTTACGATCTTTTGTGAACTTGGATCGGTTAGGTAGACAATTGGATAAATTTTGAGGTATTTTAACTATTAGATAAGAGCTTAAATCACCTTCAAGATTAGCCATCGTAAAGTTAACCCAATCTAACCCAATTTAAACTAACCCAATCTAACTTAAATTAATCTAAGCTAACGTAATTTAACCTAACCTAATCTAGCCTAATTTAAGCTAAGTTAACCTAACTCCCCAAGTAAAGCATTAGGGTGGTAGATCTTCAGGTGAAATAAACTGAGGTGTCTAATATTCAGGTAATTCTATTTCTCTTGTTATTCTTGTGTTACGATAAGTTACAGTATCCAATTAGGAACATTTTTATTTAGTTATGAGTAATTATTGGTGTTGTGAGTCCTAATAATGTGGTGGTGGTGGTGATGTAGGGGTGGTGATGAAGGGATGAGGTTGGTGATGTGATGGGTGAGTGGTGGTGGTGATGATGTATGGTAATGATGGTGTAGTGGGTGTCGGTGGTGATGAGGTGGGGTAGTGGGTGATTAATATAGTGGTGATGGTGGTGGTGATGTGATGGTGGTGATGAAGTGGTGTTTATGTAGCGGTGGTGGTGATAGTAACAATGGTGATGACGGCTGTAGCGGATACATATGATAAGATAATAACTGTGTTTAGTGATAAGGATGAAGATGATGTCATGTTGATGGTGATAACAAGGAGAGGGATGGTGACAATGGTGACGATGGTGACGATGGTGACACAGGATAATAGTGGCAATAAAGATGATATATAAACTATTCAGAGGCAGAATTCTCAAATGTTCATAAGTTAAAATGGATCATGTGAAGATTAGGCACCCCAGCTTATTTCCCCTGATGATTAGACACCCTAACGCTATCTAGGTAGGGTAGGGTTGGGTAAGCTTAGTAGGGTAGGGTAAGCTTAGTAGGGTAGGGTAGGTTAGCATGGGTATCTAAGTCAAATCTTCACGTGATCCTATAAAATTAAACATGCTAATCTTTTAGGAATTCTGCTCCAGCCCTCAGTGTGGTTCAAGCTATAGGAAGAGCCGCATTCGTCTCAATTAATGTCACTTGTAAAATATATAAGGTTATAAACAGCTTACTATTTATTACGGTTATGTGATAAAAATTTACATAATGGCTGAACGCGTGAGGTAAGTTAAGTCCCCCCCCCCCTTCCATGAGCGGCGTGTATAGAAAACGATATTGTTTATATTTTACACTGATGATACAGTTTGTCATTCCAGTTATTCATGTATATTATTTTCTTCTCTCTCTAAGTCATTCATTCATTTCATAGAGTCATTCATTTTACATCAATTGCTTGAATTTCTATATTATCTTTCAAACAATCCATCTCTACTATTTTTCTTAATCATTAATTAACAGAATATCTCATTTTCCTGAGGTTAGGGTGGTTAATCTGTGGGTGAAATTAACTGAGGTAAGAACAACGAACATGATAATATATACCTAGTTTAATTATATATATTTACTATTAATCATGTAACAGTGAGATAATGGATTCTTAAAACACACGAACATTTAATTTATCTCTTAATTGAGAACGTGAGTATGCGGCCAGGACAAAAGACAGTCTGGAGCCCTGATGACGAAGGAGGCGCAGCAGGTGTGTACTATCAGCGTCAGGAAATTATATCAGATAAGTGAAGTCAATCCTGAAGAATTTACAAACACGTACAAGACAGTCACCCTCAAGTCAATAATTAAATCATCTAATCGTGTTCCTTCCTGATAACCCGAAAGGATTAAATTGTCAGAATTATTTAATTACGTCAATTTCCGTTTTCTAATCACATGTTAATCGAAGAAAACGTGACATCAATCATTACATCATCTGTTCCAAGGTTTATTGAGAACGAAAATAGATTTAAAGAACGAGTCATAGTTCTTTTCACCGTGTTGTCTTTCGCTATATGACCAAGAAGGAAACATCATAATAAAATTAATATAAAAAGGACATGACATTCTAGTGTAATTTCTATTTTATTTCATTATTTTGTGAGAGCTTGTAAAACCATATCTGCCCCGTGCTAGTCCAGTCGTCTCATGCAAAGGGGCGTAGTATACGGAGATACGCATATTGTTTTAAAAGTCAAGGACCTTAACTAGCAGAAATCAGCCAAATCTGCAATATAACCAAGAAAGTATCGTAAAACTACATGTTTTCCCCTGTTATGATAATTTGATGACTGAGGTGGATCAAATATACCAAAATACCTCACAAGTAAAGCCGTCCTCCAACAATCAGAAACAAGAAACTCAAGGATTTTATCGAAACACCTTTAAAAAAACTCGTTTCCTGAACCCAACTTAACCTAACCACAATATTTTTTTTTTCAGAATACCAAAAACTTTCGTACGGTAAAAGAGGCAGCTTACAGATGCTGTGTGTTAGGTCGGGGATCCTCTTGCTGCCTTTGTTGGGTGTGTTGTGGCCGTTGTCTCCCTCCTCTTCCAACTTACTGAAGGAGAACAGTGAGGCCAGCTTCCCTACCATGGCTGCCTCACTATCCTTTCTCGTCTTTCTCTTCTACCAAAACTCTTCACCAACGCACAAATGTTCTCTCTTCACTAAGATAACAATCAGACGAAATTATTAAATCTCAGTTAAATTACGAGGCTTAAAATATATTCCATGTTGGATATTCGCTAAAATCAGTGGAAATATATTCGCAGCTTTTTCTGAATGGAATATACAATTCAATATACCAAAAGCTTTTACGATGCACTCACCAACAAGAGAAATCGCTGACCCATAATAAAAGCTTAAAAGTTCTATTGTTAATAATACTGGTGGCTTAAATAATACCTTGGCTGTACTAAATGAAAACAAATGAAATAAAATCACGCTTACAGAATCTACTTTATGTAAATTAACAAGCATAAAATATTCAATGGATTTTGTTCTTATCAAACCAAAATAAATATTACTGAACAATTATTTAAGCTTTTAACAATAACTTCCATATATTATACTCAAATACAGTAAAATATTTCGTTAATATTTAAATAAGAGTGCATTTACGAGAGAAATACCTCAACCAAAATATAAAATTAATTAGAAGTTACTGAACGTATTTGTGAGATAAAAATATTAAATCTGAATAAAATAAACAGAATAATGAGGACCAGCCGCCACGATTCACACTGAGCTTATCGAAAAATCCAACACGGCGTCCACCCCTTCGTTCCTATCACAACAATCTCCTTTCTTCAAAAAAATATAGCCTTTTCACATAGACATATTCCACCACTATGTTATCACGGGATCTCTCATATATATACCACCACTCGACCAGGCCAGATGCTTTTGTGAGTATATTTAATAACCTTACGCAAGCCTTAATAACGAACTGCCTGCCCTTGATAGTAGCGTCTCCCACAACCTGCACACACACACTGCCGCGGCTACTTCTCTACTTTCCTCCCTCTCTTATTATCTTATCATTGGCTTATTTCCTAATGCTTATCTCTCGTCATGACGGATATGGTCTGTCGGGGAACAGTCGTCACCTCATTACTAAGGGTCGTGCGTTTATGTTCTTGTCGTCAACCAAATGGGAATTTAATTGGCAATCAAAACCTCTGGTGATTGGTAGGTTGAAGTGTCATAATCGATAGTGACTAATGTTCAAACTTTCAACCAATTGCAATACATTTGAGAATCATTGTCTCTTGTGATTGGAGGGTTGATTATGACGTTGGATGAATATGTTCACTTCCAACGAATAGCAATTTACTATAGATTCAAAGCCTCCGGTGATTGGCTGATTGATGGAAGTTTCGTGACTGTGGACCAGCTGGGAGACCCACTGTTTACAGATGAAACAACCTCCCCCCCCCCCTTACTGTGGAGTCGATCCTGGGTACTCGAGGTTACTGAGAGAGTGTTAAGGTCAATATTGTGTTTCACCAAGAACCCTTACAAAGAGGCGCCATTATACGACACACCACAATTACCCTTCTGTGTGGCATCGAACCCGTGTACTCAAGGTTACCAAGTGTGTGATTATCCACCGCTGGTATATAAGACGCCAGTGTGACAATTTATGAACCTTTGACACCTTAAGAATATTTTGGAATCACCTAAAAGTGTAAATATTAGGCCTTAGGAATACACCAGCTAAAAATATCAAGAAAATCTAACCCACACCAAAGGCAAAATGGTCCAGTATATTTTCAATGGATGACTAATAAAACGCAACCAAGACAAAACTGTATAATTAAGGGAAACAAGAATCAGTGTAGAGTGA